GTATTCGTAGAAAGCGTGCGCTTGGTTTATTAGAGATGAACAGATTGGACGAACCAATCGTCGAGCCAGCTGTGATGTCGAGAACCGTGGCTCCCTCGTTGCCGGGCGCGAGCTGGTAGCATGTCATTTGTGAGCTAGTCACGTCTGTGACGGGCCCGTTGGACTGGAAGTTTGTTGTTTTGCGAACGACTTCCCAGTCGTTTGTTGTCTTGCCATTGTAGGTCACGGAAGGGAAGACGTCTAGGTACTTATTAGTTCTGTCCCAAAGTTCAACGCGAGACTAAGGCCTAATCTACGCACAATGAGCCGATGCAAGAGATGCCAGTATCAGAGCGGCTGAAGGAATCTTCATCGTGGAAGTTGGGGTTGGTTTTGAACTGTTATATGGCTCAGACTATCGCAAATCTCTTAGTAGGTGAGAGGATTGTTGGAAGAGCTTTTGATGACTTTTCTCCAGAAGCAAGATGGACAACTCCCAGGAAATGAAGTCTTATATGTGAGGGACTGGGCAAGACAATGAAGTGGTTCGGCACTCAGATAAAGGTCATCTGCTGCAGTATCATGGTTATCAACCAGAGTCTTTCAACGCAACGCCTTAAGGAAGCTGACCTACCGTCAATAAAACAGCCGGCGGATAAAGTCAATCAACCAGTGAAGAGCAACTTCTATATGACTATGCATTTCGGCATATCTAATCATGATCTTTTCCCATGGTTCGCCTCAACTTAAGGTCACCCGTGATGCGTGTTTGAGGTGCTCATGAGTTTAAGGAGGAGGGGTTGCGAAGCCCTCTATGGAGGGATATCCATGCCATCGCCAGAACTGCCGACGCACGAACGGAAGATGAACCGGGAAGCGTATGTGCTTTTGCTAGGACTAACAGCTTCGACGTCATATCAATATGATGGGTGTTAATGTTTGGTTTCAATAAGCAGCGGCCAATGTGAAACCTCTACGTCGTTGGACACACTAATGCCCGCTTGGCCGCGATAGACTCTAAGCAAGAAGCCCTGCATTGCTTAGAGTGTCTCTCAGCTTCTTCAGACGGTCTACAATGGAGTTTCCTCTCTCTGCAAGTAGCTCGCATTGAAGCAAAAGTATGCGGCCTTCCTTGCCACAGTCCCCTTCCCTCTCCTTCAGTGCAGAGCTGAGCCGTGGGACACAACTGGCCAGGGAAGACTGAAGATCGATTAGAATCGCCATGATGATGGAGGGCGATGATCGCCGTGACGGAGTGAATGAGCCGATCTTGAGCTCTGGTACGTCAAACTCGTGAGGCTGAACATCCTGTTGCATGGCAGCGGCGAGGAACCTGAGACATAGCTGAACGTGACAGAGGACGAGTTCCATGACATCGGCACATCGGTAATGGCAGCAGAGAAGGAGGTTGAGCAAGGGATAGTCGATCTTTGATGTTAGCTGCGCCGAATTTGCAAAGGGCTCGTCTTGGAGGCCGGTGATGGACTGGTATGTGTGTATACAGTTTGGTACACTGCAGTCGGGGCTTGGGCGCCGTTCCAGAGCGAATTGTACAGCTTTGGGGTATACATCGACGAGCTTCTGGGTCTCGGCGAGTAGGAGTTCGAGAGACTCTTTGTGACTGTACTGTTGGGATATCTCGAGGCAGTACCTTTTGGAATCGGGGCCAGAGACGTGGAACTTGTCAATAGGGGGAAGACCCGTCGTGGCTCTATCTAGAGTGGCCGTGATGGCAGTGAGCTGTTCAAAGCATTGAGATCGAGGGTCAGCCGGGACTTGGATCAGTGGTGCTTGACCAAGGCGAGATGATGCTACGTCGCAAGGCTGAACAGAGGAGAAGCCCAGGATGTCATCGAAAGAAAAGTTGCCCCAACCCAGGTCCGTCGCACCGTTTGAAAGGGGTAGGACATCGTCGCTCGGTTCTGCAGCCAGGTCCTGGTAGGCGGGTAACGTGCCCACGGGGCTGTACACGCATGCGGCTCCGGCCTTGAGGCAACGGCTGCAAATGGCGTTGCCAGGCTGTTTTGGACAACGTAGTTTGTGGGCGTGGCACCGGTCGCAGCTCTGGCGGGTTTGACGAGTACGAGGAGGTGGCATTGTGCGATGATTTACTATTCCGGATCTCCAAGCATGCTGGTCAGGTCCACGTTGTTTGCTTTTAGGCTTGGTCATGTAAAGCGTGGAGCTGAGCTGAGCTGATAAGACTGTGTAGACCGGACGTAGGTAGGGTGGAAGTGGCTTGCCCAGGCACGTAAGAGGTACATTTGAGGGAATGAGCGGCGGCGGTGGTCGTGGCAGCGGAAACCTCAAGCCGGAGGCTAGCTGTCTTTAAGCAGCTTTAGGGGAGGAGTGCCACGATGCTTGGCGGTCCGATGCGGACGGGACGACAGTGATGTTGAAGGGCTAGCATGTGATGTGGAGCGTGTGCCTGTCGTGCCTGTCTCGGGTTTTCTTTGCGGCTTGAATGATAGTTGACGGCTGAGAGGATGAAGGATGGCGGCGGAGGATTCGATGGAAGCCTCGAGAGGCTAGAGACCCTTTGGCTGAGATACCTGTCCAAAAGTACCTTTTAGCGATGGCTTGCGGTGGTGGGCCAATCGCCATGTCGGGAGACCGAGGACGGGGGTCCACATTCCGGGGCCGGCTCGCCGGATGGACCGATGGTGGAGGGCGTTAGGTAGGTACGTACCTGGAGGCTGCTTTACTAAGCACAAAGGTACCCAAGTAGGTACCTTAGGGAATGGAAGCGTAGCGCCCGCCCAGTCAGCACGCTAATCTCCTCTTCAGCCTTTTTTCAATGGATTCATTTCCCACTCAATCACTCTTTCGTATCTCTATATTGCTTCAGAACAATCAACAGCGACAAGACATTAACAGGGACTCACAGAACTGGATCGGACTGAACCGGACTGGCCGTGGATTTCCCGTCGAGTTTCTGCGAACCGGGCAAGGTGCAAGCTTGCTGACCGTTTTGATAGATTGATGGGTGTCAGGATCCATGCGCCCTCATCCATGATATCCGTAGTGCTAGGTTACTTGCAAAGTTGCAAAGTGCGGCGTGTCCACCCTGAGCTTGAGCACAGACGGCGCGGTCGCATTTGATCCCCAAGGTGCCATCGGTGCCATCTGAGCCCATCTTTCTTTGACGCGAATGACACGTCTGAACTCTTGACTCTTTTGCGGGATGGGCGGGACCCCGGTCACGTCGTCGTCATTCGGACGAAACTCCCAACTCTCAGTCTCTCTCTGTCTTGTCACCTTCACTTTAACCCTTGTCATCACGGAATCAAGGATTGGATGGTTTATTTGAAGACACCGGCAGGCACATCAACAGCAGCAACAGCAGCAACGGATTGCCAATTGGAACCGCACGCGTGGGATCCTCCGACTCGCCTCGACTCGCCTCGCCTCGTCTCCAACACGGTGGCATATATTATCCCAACGAATAGAAGCGATTCTTGTTTGGCGACTTTGGCCTGGTCCCATGCTCCCATGGCCCCAGCCTGCCTTTGCCCTGCATTCATCCTGGCCATCTGTTTTTTTCTTTTCTTTCCTGGCACAGCAAGTCGTCCGGGGGGGATTTCCTCTTATTTTTCACCTATTCTCACTCACAGTACTCACTTGACCGTATGTTTAACTCATTAGCGAGCTGCCGACATGGAAACTTCTACCGGACCCTTCCGTGCAAAAGCAAACAAACACTCTCACCCTTCTCGACTCTTTCTCCGTTCATTTGCGACCCCAATGAAAGGGCTAATCCCCCCCAAAAATAAAGACCCCAAGAAAACCAAACCTCAGCTGCAGCAGCATCGTCAGCATGCACACCATCCGCCGGCTGACGGCGGCATGAGACGAGAATCACATCCAAAGAGATCGTCGCACATGACTCTCTGGCCAAACTCGACTTGACAGGCATTGCATGTCCCTTGCCCGTGGACCATGCCCATTGACCCCCCCCCCCGTCTACTCCGTCTACACAGTCGCTAACGCCGTCCCATGCCTCATGTCATGTCGGCTACCCGCCCCCCTCGAGTTCCCGTGCGCCCGTTCGGACGACTTGCACCTCGAGTCGTGAGATTGGCGTCCTGGCGTCCACCAACTCAACGCCCGCCAACGCCACATTGGCTCAAAAAGTTTGCCCGCCCATCTCCTCTGCTCTAGTGTCCGTAGCTCCACGCCCGATCTCTTCTCTCCCCCCCCCCCCATTTTCCTCCCTGGCTTTCCTGTCGATCCAAGAAGCCCGAGCACACCCTCTAGACTCTTGTTCCCTACCAACTCCGTACGCCGTATGATGTATCCGGTCTCCATAACCTACCTTGCCTACCTACGAATACTCCGTACTTCAAGAGTCAAAGCATCAAAGAAACCAGAAAAACCCACTTCATCAACAGACACGCGCGCCCGTTTGGCCCCAAGCTGTTGGTAACCCACCCCTCGATCTGTTGTCTCGCTTTGAAGCTTGTTCTGAGTCGTGTTCCCCCCATCTGCCGATAAGCACTCTGTTTGCCATTTCCCACCGGTCTCAAAACTCTCCCGTCCTCCCTTCCTTTAGGCTTCAGGCTTCAGCTCGCCCTGGCCATCCATTCAGCTGCTTGCCGGCCGCCCGCCAACATTGCTTTTCCCGATCCGGTCTCCGCTGCTTGCCGTTCTTAATCCCTTCCCTCCCAGACGATCCTCTCTCTCCCTCTCGTCACTTTCACTCCCTTCAACACCAAGTTAGTTCCTTCACGTAATTACCTACCTACTCTCGGCACCATTCCATCATGCCATCAAAGTGACAGGTCAACAATGGAGGCAACCACAGTCGATGAGGCTGTGTCGTCTCTCAAAGAATTATACGCCGAGGGCACAGAACATTACACCCACTGGAAGAGGAAACGTACACTTGGGAACCACTACTGTCGGAAATCATCAGACTCTGGTGTTCGAAGGGATGTCATTACATGTGCTTTGAGCATCTCTTTGGAACTTGCGAGGAACCAAATCGAGGAGACATATGACATTGCGACTGTTCTTATTGGAACCGACTTCTCCACCGGCGATAGTGAGTTTCCACCCCCATCGACCATCGACGTCGCAACCCGTTTTCCATCTGTCTGCAGCCACGCTAATAGCATCAACAGCACCATGCCGGGATATGCTTTCCAACCAGCTGTTCAACCTCAGTAGTCGGGTTTCCCACCTACGCCGGGTCTCTTCTGACTCGAGCTTCACTGGGCTTCTCAACATCTCAGATATCATACAGACATCCGAGTCTGTCAGAATCGCCTCGGTCCAGGCCCTCGGTGCCTTATATCACCGTCTCGCCGCCGGACGCCCAGATATCCCCGAGCACCTTCCCATTCCAAAGCCCCGCTCGCGGCATGTGAGGCCCATCTCGCAATACTCAAGTAATCCGTCATTCGATAATCATAGTGTCATATCTGAAGATGAAGACGACAACGACGTTGAAGAGGAGGAGGAAGACGACGACATGTCGACGACCATGACCATCAGCACCGACCAAGCACCCTTCCAATCAGAACCGCCCTCACCTCCACCAACACCACCAACACCAAAAGCCATCGCCAGCGACGCCGTCTCCATCTTCGCCCCCTCGGAAGCAGACACAACCAGCACCACCGCCTCGGCCTTCCTCTGCCCCAAAGTCAGCGTTTTCAGCATGTTCTGCCCAGAGGCCATGACGCTGCAGGTCGACCTTTCCAAGCCGATCCCCGACGCGCCCAAGAGGTGCAAGTGCGGCTACCGATGGAACCCGCTGCTGCCCGGCAACAAGGACTATATCGTCCTCAAGGACGGCTTCCGCATGTCGAGCCGGTTCCTGGCCAAGTCGCACTCGGACAGGAATGTATTTGCGTGCTGTCTCTGCGTGCCGACGGGGACGACGGATAATTACGAGTCGGCGGACGCGTTGAGGGCGCATATTAATCTCTATCATCGCAAGTGGCAGATCTTGCATGATCGAGATATTCACTAGGGATTTTTCATTGTGACGGGGTGTACTCGTCGACGGGGTGGCCTTTACCCTTGGCGTGCGGGCACGTTGATCGTCTTCTTCACTTGATTGGTGGCGTTTCTGATACCTCTTGATTTTACGATTGGTTCTTCAGTTTGTACAGTGTGTTTTTTGTATCGTAGGGCGCAAAGGAGTGTTCAGGTGATTGAAAAGCCGGGAAGGGGTTGAATACCACAGGAGCTAGGTAGGATTGGACATATATGATACCCATCGGGAAGAGAGCGCTCTCTCTTTTCGGAATTTAATTGGTTAAACTATCAACATTGCTAAAAGTCGTGAAGGAACCGGGTGCCTCTCTTTGTGTTTTCAACGGCAATTTGAAGCGATGAGGCAGGTTCCCAACTTGCTTCTAACCGATGTTGAGCTGCCGTATTTGACCTAGGCCATCAAACAAACTTGCGCGATGGATCGCTTTAGTGTTGAAGGACGCTACTAGAGATGCACGTCGCTAATGCAAGGCACGGATGGGACTCGGATTGGACGTTGAGGTAGGGGTTTAGGGTAGCTGAAAAAAACTAAACTAGAAGTTTGATGCTTGGTTGATGAGGGTTTGTGATGCCGTTGTATCTAATTGCATGAGCTGGATGCGAAGGTTGGAACTAGTCGACGTGATTGTGAGAAACCTGTCGTTTTCCAGCTCATATCCCAGGATATAGTGAAGTAGTCCACTTACACAGGAGATACTCACCATTTCTCCGATACTTTCTCCTCCTGTCTCACTCACTTTCTCGCCACAGTTCAATTCAGAACTGGCCGTACCACATACAAGTCCGCACGATGCAGGTATACCGGTTACTGATGACGGTTTCTGCGTGATGCCGGGACACTCGAAAGTCTCGCACTGCTCAAGGAGCTCGGTGATCTTGTGGCCACAGCGGTGGTGGATGAAGACCTTGCGTTGACACATCCACGCTTTCCTCTTTCGTCGTCGGGAGTTGAGTGCGGCGGTGAAGACACTCAAGGTGGACGACGGCAGGGTTGAGCCGGGGGTTGAAGGGGGTTGCTAGGCTTGGGGAATGTTTTGAGTCGCGGTGAAGGGTCGTCTGGTGCGATTTAATACGAATTCTGTGCTGCCCCGTTGCGAATATGCCGTGGTGGTTCCATAGCTGTACCCGTAGCCATAGGTAGGCTCTATTTGTTTCAAACCCCTGATGACGGGCCCGAGCTGGCCCAGTAAGTGTAACCGCGACAGAGACTGCCCTGGTCAAATGACCACGGTGCCGGGGGTTGGTGGTGATGGAGTTGGAGAGGATCGTCGTTGTCTGGCCAGGGGGAGAAGCTCACAAGTCAACGGTCTCCCGTGGTCCTTGATGAGTTGATACAACGACGAGTTGTGACACAAGTTTCGAGGTCTTGAAAAGATAACTAGCAGTACATTTTGGAAACAATCCCTAGGGACCATGTGGGAAGACATGGTGAGCTGGGTATAACTCCGGCAGAGGGTCGCATTGTCTTCGGGAGAGATACAGATACTTCTCATGACAGCTTGGCATGTTTCAAGTAGAAGCTGCAGATAAACATCGTATCTCGCATTGTAAGATCTCAGATACGTACGGACGACTCATCTACCTCATCATTGCAGACATCGTGTGTTTGTCTGACAACTTGAAGAAGCTGAATAAGCTCAGCGCAATGTCGTCGAGACATTGCCGTCTTGCAAAAGCAAATCGCATGACACCTTGCTGAAAGTGTGGATCATCAAATGTCGGACAACTTCAATGGTCTCATGTAGTAAACAGAAATCTGTTTCTGTTATAGCAATTGCAAACATGATGAATTTGTTACTTGATGGGTTGGTGAACTTGGTATTTGTTTACTTGGATGCTCTGTGGCTGTGGCTGTGGCACAGTGTGGGTTCCTCTGGCCCGGCAGTCATAAGCGCCCCGCAAAGCGGTTCGAACGCTCCGAGGCGGGGCACGTGGGGTATTTGGGTGGCTCCGTAGACAGTGTGAGGTCATTCAATGTCAACAAAACAACCTTTCTCACCTTACCTCACCTACGGAGTACAACTCCTCACCTGTACACCTGGTCACCTTGACCACCACCTCGAGCTGCACCTTGTCCTGACTCACCCAGGAGCTTCGCCTTACCTTGACAGCTCCTTTAAGCTTCATCCATCATCGCGATTCCCTCCGACAGGCCTACGCTGGCCCTCACACCCCATGCCGTTTTCCCGACTCACCCAGACACCCGACTAAAGTGGCCTCTCCGTCTACGTCTGGCGAGCAAACAACCATCACAGCTGCCTTCTTCTGGGCCATGATCTAGACCTTTCTGTTGGTCCGACGACCCCAGTGTAGCATACCAAGATCGACCGGCCATGTCGCTGATCCCATACCACCCGCGCGAAGGTCGCGAAATCGTCCTGTTGGTCTACCTTTATTCTGCTTCCTCTTGGTCGAAGAATGCATCTTGCTGACAGTGCTTTCCTTTAGCCGACACCGCAACGCTATAGTAGTCCGTGACCCTTCCTCCCAGAGACTCGAGATCCGTGGCCTGTCCGAATGCCCGACATGCCGCCAGCCCTTGCGATCATCCTCTCCCGAACGTCAATTCGACACCGCTCGCCATCATGATTCCTTTGTCGACCCGAATTACTTTCGCATGCTCCGAGCCGGGGGCCACGACTCTCGCGCCGACCACCATCCCCCGCCCAGCCCCATTCGTCGCATTGTACAACCAAGCTTACCCCACCCGCAAGCTGCCGTAATCGAGGAAGCCGAAGACGCCGAGTTCATTTCGAGTACACCCTCGGTCCAAGAGGGCAGCCGCATCCGCCGCGAGGCTTTCAGTCCTAATTATTTCAAAACATTCTTCGTCGAGGAGAAGGAGCTTGGGCGTGGTGGAAAGGGCGTGGTGCTGCTCGTCCGCCACGAAATCGATGGTTGTCAACTTGGTATGGGTCTCGAGCGATCGATTTCCTATGGAAATACTGACGATAGCTAGGTCACTTTGCGTGTAAGCGCGTGCCTGTGGGCGACGATCACGCATGGTTGGAAAAAGGTAAGAATGGCATGTGCTACGCTTATGAAGATGCAAAAGCTGACTGCGAACCTGTCAGTTCTCATCGAAGTCGAGCTGCTCGCCAAGCTCTCTCACCCGAACTTGGTCTCATACCGCCATGTCTGGCTCGAGGACGTCAAGCTGACACGCTTCGGTCCCAGCGTGGCATGCGCTTTCATCCTACAGCAATACTGTAATGGCGGCGACCTACTCAACTATATCATCGGGGACCAACCCAAGGAAACGACCAAGGAACAGCTCAAAGCTCAGATGCGACGGAAGTCAAAAGGCCAGCTTGAATTGCCTCGTGACCAGTTCGCTTCGCAAAGATTGCTGTCCTTTGAGGAGATTTACTCGCTCTTCAAAGACATCACCTCGGGACTGGCATATCTTCACGCTGCCAATTACATTCATCGCGACCTGAAGCCAAGTAACTGTCTCCTGCATCGAGAGGGTAGCGGTATAATCTGCCTGATCAGCGACTTTGGTGAGGTTCAATCTGAGAATATGGTCCGTAAGTCGACTGGATCCACAGGAACCATCTCTTACTGCGCGCCAGAGGTGTTGAGGAGAGATTTGACGACTGGACGTTATGGCAATTTCACCACAAAGTCCGACATATTCTCTCTTGGCATGATTCTCTACTTTATGTGTTTTGGTCGTCTGCCGTACCGTAGTGCCAACACCATCAACGAAGAGCTCGAAGATATCGACGAGCTCCGAGCGGAGATCACAGACTGGCAAGGCTTCCAAGACGAACGTAGAGAACGCCCAGATCTTCCCACAAAGTTGTACCAACTTCTTAAGAAGCTTCTTGCTCTGGATCCGTTGCAGCGGCCTAGCGCAAGTGAAGTTCTATCAGCTATGAAAACGGAGTCGACCATGGACGGCGTCCCTCGAGGTAGGAGTTCGAGTCCGTCCATGGGAATCAACGGACGCCGGATACAGAGTCTAGACTCCCCAATGCCGCCAAGCACCCCCGTGCCAGGTTTGTGGCTCATAACCCTTTAGAGATGACGCTATCTATCGAACTGACTTGGTCGCAGATCCCCAAAAGCAGTCGAGGTTCTCCTCGTCCCAGGAAGGGTACAACATCCCTAGCAGGGCAGCAGACAGCGGATCTCCCACTTCGGACATGCCGTCAGGTCTACGAAGACAATCAGACTCAAGCTCCCCGAGGCTACGACCGCAAGCGCAGGTAATGGTGGCTCAACGCAGCCAGGATAGCTTTATCCGCACGACACCAGAGCGAGATGAAAGTGTGGATTCCCTGAAAGACGAACCTCTGAGCTCGCCCCCGCTCCTGATGCCACCCCCTGCTACACCTTTGGAAGCCTTGCGGCACAAGCTCATGATTAGCCGGTTGCGAGCAGGCCAGGTTATGCGCTACAATGCCGGACCTCTACTGGCGGTTGTGCGTCTTGGCTTCTTTTTGAGCAAAATGCTCAGCCTGACACGCCCTTGCTGGCCGTACGTAGTTAGCCCAAACGTCGGCGCGCCATTGGTGATTTTGGCTGCTCTTGATCTTGGTCTTGCCGGTACCGGTACGCGACCAATAACGCCATATGAGCGGGAAACCGGGAGACGTCTGTCCAACGGACTGCCTTGGACTTGGGGCTTACGAGGAAGCGTCATTCTCGCGATACTCCACCTTGTTGTTCTATGGGTTGGAGGGCAGTATAACTCTTTATGCACGACGGTGCCTGGGACTTGGCATCTTTGACTGCGTTGATTTCAAAGTCACCCGTGGATGGGCTTCTGTATCTTTCCTCTGGCTGGTTTCAACTTGGAGCTGCTGCCTGCCGAACGCGCCACCCACTGAACCCCAAAGTCAAATTTCTTCCATTAAAGTCTAAACAAGGTCGACGAGTGTTGACTCTGAAAAGCTGGTGAATAAGTGCTATGAGGGCGTTTCATGACACAAGCATTGTTTTTCATATTTGGAGCAGCGAGTGCGAAAGGACTGGTTAAATTCTTTCTTTTAGGCAGTCCGGTCAATGAAGAAGTTGCCGGTGGCGTATGGCTACCTTTCCCAGTCGGATTGATATTCCAGCGTTAGCATTTGGGAATATTATCTAGGGAATTACTTTACCAAAAAACAATGAACGTACTCGGAATGCGAGCAATCGTCGGATGGGCACCGTAACATTGTCACTGAAAGAAGGAGATTCTGTCCCACCCAACCCCTCACCATCTTGATCTCTCTGTGCCACCTCCTCTTCCGAGAAAGAAGGACTTGGGAATGATGCGCGCAGGAGGTGGTTTGAATGACACCTCCAGCAATAGAAGCTCAAAGTTGTGCCAACACTCGGGTATTGCTTTATCCTGCGGCCCGCGGGAAGCGGTCCATCCCGTGGTGTGGGTAGACCCGCGCGGGAAGCTACGCTGGGTATGCTTCTCCGCGATCTTTCCCGCCTCACTTTCGCACACGATGTCACCGCCGAGGAAAGTTGGCTGCCGGTGTATTCTTGGCTGAGATGATGGGATGGGGGATGTGTATGCGGAGTGAAGGAGTATGTCTCACCGGTCCATCTTATTTTTTGGCTTCTTTTCAGTTTGGATGTACTGTGTAAGTGCGTGAGCTTATTTATGTTGGTGTTTCTTCATATAAGTTTGTATTGCTGCCACACTCCGGATTGCTCAGTAATCCGCGCACGCAGTGTCGTCACGCATCATTAGCCTTTCTAAGCTTTTATATAGGCCTTCAACGCTGTCTTCATATCTGTTTGTACGTGTGTGAAACGAGGAAATCCCATCATGGCGTCCCTTCTCCGAGGTGCGGCTTTCATCACCGGCGCGGCTTCCGGTACGTTTTGACGAACTCCCATTCACTCACGGACTTACTCACGGCAACGATCCCGCACAACCCACCCAAAAGTCCTGGCAGTAACTGTTGAACGCTTCTTTCGTTAACATAAACCACTAAAAACAACAGGCATCGGCCAAAAAACAGCCCTCGCCTTCGCCCGAAACGGCATCACCCGCCTCGCCATAACCGACATCAACACCCAAGCCCTCGAGGCCACGAAATCGCTCCTCGGCGAGAAGTACCCCTCCACCGAGGTCCTGACGCTTCCCTTGAACGTCCGCGACGCGGCTGAAGTAAAAGCCGGCATCGCGGAGACGGTATCGCGCTTCGGGCGCGTCGACGTGGCTGTTAACAACGCGGGGATCGCGGGCAAGGGGCAGTTGACGCACGAGGTTGACGAGGAGGAGTTTGGCGGGGTTGTGGATGTTGACTTGTACGGGGTGTGGAGGTGTCAGAGGGAGGAGATTAGGGTTATGTTGGAGCAAGAGTATGTTTCTTTTCTTCTCCTTTCTGCGGTATTTACTCGGGTGTCTCTTGGTGAGTTTGGTATTCAAGTGATGTTGTATCTAGGGACCTCGGAATGAGACGCGGTCGTGGCGCCATTATCAACGTGGCTTCTATCTTTGGCGTCGTCTCCCCTTCGCTCTTCATGGCGCAGACGGCGTATTCGACTGCGAAGCACGGTACGTCGTCAACTTGCCCCCTTCCCTTCCCCGCTTCCCCCTCCCCTTCCTTTCTTCCAGAGAGAAACACGGTAAAGCATGTGGCACAATTCGGGTACTAAAACCAAAAAACAAAATAGGAGTCATGGGCCTGACGAAGAGCGACGCAAACAACTACGGCCGTCAAGGCATCCGCATCAACGCGATTTGTCCCGGCTGGATCGAGACGCCTATCGTGAAGCCCTTTTCCCGCGAGGCGGGGAGCCCGCTGAGTCGGTATATTGAGATGACACCGTTGCAGAGGCTGGGTCAGCCTGAGGAAATTGCTGATTGTGAGTTTTTTTTTTCGTTGTTGGTTTCTCAATGCCTTTTTTTGTTATCCCAAGTATATTCATGATGGTGTCTTTCGATTTTAGTAAAGTGGACTAACGGGATAGTAATATAGGCATCACATTTCTCGCTTCTGATATGAGTAGTTTTATGCAGGGGTCTGGGTTGGTTGCTGATGGTGGGTTTACGGCTCATTAGTCTCATTGGTGAGATGAAAGGTGTGAGATGAGGGCGGGTGGTTTTTATCGTGGTGATCTTGACAATGTGGGAGAATCTGAGTATTTTATGTCACTTGTGTTGATGGCGTTGGAACACGTAGTTCACAGAAGAAGCGATCTATTTAATTATGCTCAAGACTGGCAAATCCCTATTTACAACGCTACGCATAGACAACTCAGGTACAAATGTCAAAAAATGAATCAAGCCCGTAGACTCCCGCAGACCACCAACGCCCAAGCTGAAGTAACGAAGAGTGAGAGAGAACAAGGGGGGAATGCAAAAGAAGAAGAACCGAGTCTGTTTTCCCATGCGATAAGATCGACTCAGAAGCTCAAAAAGTCCAGTTCGTGGTTTCTAGGCGCTTCGTCCGCCGGACGTCTCTCTGCCTTACCGGCAATTGAACTCTGCACCAGCTCAATCAGACTCACAGAGGTCATGGTATCCAGGCCATCATCGGTACCCATCCATTCCATGGCGTCATGGCCATAGGGCCCGAAACCTCCTTGATCCATTACTGTGTCCTTGGCCTCGCTCTTGAGACTGCTCTGATTGGGTTCCTCTTTGTGGACCTTTTGCTGGCTTTCACGGTTACTTTCCCCTCCTCCACTGAGCTGGAAGCTGGAGAGTGAATCGATACCGATCCCGGATGCTCCAGACTCCCAATCGTTCAGTTCCAAATCGCCATAACGCAGATGCGCCTTTTGAGACGGCGATGCGTTGCCGTTGGTCGTGACATCCTGTGCCCAGCTGTTGGACAGTGGCGAAACAAAAATGCAATCCTCTACAGGCTTGCTCTTGACATCCGAAGCGTCGTCTTCTCTATCATTATCTATCGCCGAACCGTTGAGAAAGTCTAGATTAAATAGCTGATGATCGTTTCCGCCTGAATGATACGCCGCGGGCTCTAGGGGAGAACCGATGTTTGCGTACACGTTGCTCTGCGACGACCTGCGCGTCGATGGCTGCATCTTGGCGCCGAAGAAAGGCAAGGGCGGGCGAGCGAACTCAGACGCTCTTCGACTGCTCGTCGATGGTCGGCGTCTTTTGTTCGGTTGGGTGTCCCGGACTTCAGCTTCACGTCTAGCTGGTAGAACGGAGTAAACGCTGTCCATTTTGCCTCTCCAGCCTGGGCTTGAAAGTAGGCTCTTTTCGCTGCCCGTCAGTATGACTGGCGGCTGGCTGACGCCGTCGGGACTGTCGTTATCGGTCCGCAGTTTTCCAAGGACTGCCTTCAGTAGGTTGTCCATGCGTGCCGCTGGTTGGTAGGCTTGACTCATGTCGCTGATGGCGCTGGCCAGAATCTCTAGGTATCCGAGGTACGTTCGCCTATCAGATTCGCAACGGTGATGTGCAAGTGCCGCAACTAGAGCAATGGCCGCAGTACCGGCGTGCTGAATGCCGGTGATGAATATCTTGGTTCCGTCAAACCGTTGTCGGTGTTGCCAGAATATCCTCGCCACTCGAATGGCGTGGAAACTACAAATGCTGCGCGATGACGCAACTCGGCCTGTGTCTAAGGTTGATTGTGACATGTCCGTCCCTAGGGAATGGTTGAAGTGATGATGGTCGGACGTGTCTTTGGAGTCGGAGCTCGAGTTCGGCGTCAGATTTGCATCAGTGCTAGTGGTATCGCCAGAAACTTCGTCGTAATTCGCCCACGAACGATGCAGCAATATCATCGAGACGTGATATTGCTGGTGAAGAAGGAAATAGCTGAACGGTGCATGCTTGATGTTGGCAGGCTTCCACTGCAAATATTCCGGCAACCGCCTATACCAATTCTGCAATTGGCGATCGAGGTTGGTGCTTTGAATATACGCATCTTCTTCGCCATACGCTCCGTCTCTCTTATGAACACTCGCTGGTACTTGCCGGCTGTCTCTAGCTTCCACTATACGACCCGCAAGCTCCATCAACTCGACGAGCTGGTCGTAGATCTCCACAATTTGATTCTCCTTGTTAGTGGGCCCAGGCGTTCCCATGAGCGACGTGAGCTGTGAGAAGCGCCGTGATAGCAGATCCATGCCGACATCTTGGCTTTTGATGCTCGTGGGCCGACCCAGAAATAGGGACCAATATTTGTCGTATATCACGCAGGCTCTCATCACCATGTGACGGATGTCGACCTCCTGTTCGTCAAAACCACTGTTGCGGCAGTCCAAATGGAGCCCGATGTCAAAAGCTAATCTGTTCGCCATCCCTGATGAAGCAGAGTTATTATGAGTTCTTTGAAGAGGCACACGATCAGCTTACCAGCATACATCCACCCAGTATTATCTCTGCCAACGCCGCATTCCAGATCGCCGAGAAGAAGGAGGGCTTGTACGCTTGGTATCCCACCAGGTCTCTCGAGTTCGACATCGAGCATGTACTTGGCCTCCCTGTGCAAAGTGCTCTCCCGGTTCCCCAAAGCCATTCTCTTCATTTCATCACGACTGCAATCAGCAAATCGGAAACCCATAGCCAAGATCGCGATATGCAGGAACGACGAGTAGAACTTTGGGCTTTGCGACTCTCGATCGGATTCGAACGATTCCCTGTGGATGATTTTGAGCACACTATTGTAGTGCGTCCAGAAACTGTTCATGAGGTAGTCGTGAGTCGTCGCCGTCAGTGTCCGAATAATGCGCTCAGCACGCCGTATCTGCTCTGATGGTTCACGAGACCGCAAGCTATCACTAGTGTCGGCGTAGTAAACATGGGAGTTGGCCGTCGGGCCGAAGAAGCGGAGCCGTCCAGATAGTTGGTCAAATGAAAGATTCCCTCTCGTCGATAGAAGCCTGTGAACAACGTTCTCTTGCGTTGGGTCCAGCATACGGAACGCAGATTGTTCTTCTGCAGCAACATGGAAGCAGGGGCTGGCGGTGGACGCGTTTTCGGCGTGGTCGCTGCCCTGTACTGAGTAGTCATCGTTTCCAGAGTCCGGAGGTGAGGGGACCTCGGGGGCAGTTGGTCTCTTGACTGGAACCTTTCTTTGCTCTCTTGGCTCTTCCGATAACTGCTGGGTCTCGTGTCTCGTCTTCGGGGGATGCACGGCTGGTGGAGGTTGAACACCCTTTTCCTGCAGCATGCCCTCAAGCATCGCAATGCGATCGGACAAAGACGACATGTACGCCTTTGATATTGGTCTGGTGATTGTGTCAGCATTTCAGACAACACTGAAGTCAACTGGGAAAATTCAGCTCTCAAGTATACATACCGCCGCCGCTCATCGTCATTCTTGATAACGCACTCATTACCTGCCTTTTTGCACTGGACGCACTCCGACTCGCCCTTTGGAACCACACAGCGAATTCTTCTGTCCCGACAAGAGGCGCAGGCAACAGATGCTCTATGCCTTACCTGTTGGGTCTTGGCTTGGCGGGTTGAAGGTATGCGAGAGGTAGTATTTTCTTGTGCGGTGATTCCGGTATCATCGTTTGAGCCTTGCCCGGCTTCATTCTTGATGATGGTCATGATCTCGTATCCTACGGTTTTGTAAAGAGCCACAGCTTTCCGGGTAATAAAGGAATTATACGTGGAAACGTGCAAGGTATCACGATGATGGAATTGCGCAAGCGACGATCCAGACGAGTTTGAGGAAGAATACTGGAAAACGAGTGCAAAATCAGATGAGGGATGGCTGTCCAACGGCGAGAATGCCGAAGATGGAGGACGAGCAAGTACAAAAGTGTCGAGGCTCAATGCTGGACTCCACCGTGACGACAAACAACAGGGCCCTGGGAGTGTCACGCAGGCATGCCACCCCTCTTTCAGGTTTCGTTCAGGTTGTTGGCCAGGAGAGGGATGCCGGCTTGGTAGAGGCAGCGGAAGGGCAGTGGATCCCGGGCAAGCAAGCTCAGATGTGGTGGGATGGAATGGTGCAGGTGCAGGCGGAGGTGCATGGCGAGGAGACGGTTCGAGACAGCTTGTTTCCCCAATCTTACACACGCAGCGAGCCACTGCGGATCCGAACCCAAAGCTTGGCTGCGTTGGGGGATTCGTGAAAGCTCCGAGCTCGGGACTGGAGTCCGGGATGGTCCAGCGAATGCGACACTTGTCGCGTCGGTGAATCTCACTCTTGCCCGATAGACTAGGAGAAATAGTTGAACTAAAGCAGCCCAATGGAACCAGAGCACTCCGTTACCCCAGACGGAGGGAGCTTGATGCTGGATATCCGGCGAACCCACAGTCAATGGTCTGGGGATAGTGGGCCACGAGAGGCTGGAGGAGCCAGGGCTGGGTCGGCCATATGGAGACCACAAAGAGAGGGGTATACTGGTATGGGACGACGACGACAAGAATCCATGTCGGCAGGATGTTGTCCGAGGGGAGAATGAAAAAGGTCTGGACGCCCCATTGACAAAGATGGTTGCACGTCGGATGCGGGGAAGATTGTGAGGTCCACCGGATGCCGCAGATGGACGGCGCAGTGACATTGAACGTCGAGATCCGATGTCGAATTAGACGACGCGGATTTGCCGACAGTTTTCCGCGGCGGACGAAGCGGACAACAGCTGGGGTTGGCTCCCTTCCCTAGAAGCTGACGACATGTTGACGGTCCAGGAAGGATGGGCCATTACGTCATTGTAGGTAGAGTATAGCAGAGAGCATCGTCGTATTGAGAAGAAAAGTCTGGACTTTCTCTGGATCTTGTTAATAACTAAATGTGAAGGAGAGTTGACCAACATGTTGGTGTAAATTGAACATGATGAAAAGAGGTTGGTTGAGGAGGTTGAGAGACAAGACACGGCAGGGTACGTACTCGTCGAGTGGAGATAGGGTTGGCCAATCATATGATAGTAAAGCAGCCCCGCGTTATCTCCGCAGCGGCAAGGATGAATCAGCATCGCTAGCGCCAGCCCCACACTCTGACTCGTCCCCTCACCTCGGCCTGGCAGCAAGAGCTACCCTGCGGAATCACCCCACCTGCCCGAGGGAAACAACAGCTCACGGCACCGGATTCAACTCAACTGAACTACTGTATCCATGATTGAGGCACACATCGCCGTTACTTGCTAATTCTGTCTATAGTATACCATTTGTCTCTCTAGTTCACATCTCTTTGCAACTTGTCACGTGCAAACACGAACCGACTCCCAAAATGGGCTCTCAAGACTATCCGAGCCTCCTGCTCCTCCCGCTCCCCACCCAGCCACCATCGCGGGCCTCGCTCAGCGCCGCATACCGTCCCTCCTTACAGGCAGTCCTATCCAAACTCAAGAACCAAAGTCAGTCTTCTGTCCTTATTGTGGCCGTCGTTGGCCCTCTTCTCCGCGGGGCATCACCAAAAACCAAATCGCTGTCATGGCCGGCTGCCCAGTCTCTCATCGCCGGTCTCTACAGTCTCATCGCCCTGATATGCGCCGAGCAGGCCATTGCCAGCGATGTCGACGGCGGACCTGGCGCGGTTGACGCACGCGTCGTCTTGGTGGACCACGATGCCAATCGGAGGTTCGCCCCGGATTTTCAGGCCGCCATCGATCCTAATAACACAACGGTCGTGGACCTGCCGACCTTTGCCTCGGCATACCACCCTTGGAACTTCATCTTCCATATCAATAGTGAACAAGGCTATCGTACATTATCGACATATCTCAAGTTTGCTGAGAGCAGGCAGACGATTCTGCAATCGCAGCTAGTAGTTGTCGAGGCAGGTCTGAGTATGAATGTCGAGGGATCGAGCGAGGATCCAGTGGAAGACACCCCGGGATACAACATCGTGTGTCTAGGGGGCACATTCGATCATTTACACCCAGGTCACAAGTTACTTCTCACGGCGGCCGTACTTCTACTTCGGGTGCCTGTCAAGGACGCGACGTCGAGTTGTCGCTTGATCGTCGGGATCACCGGAGACCAGATGCTGGTAAACAAGAAACACGCAGAGCTCGTGCAATCCTGGGATGACAGAACCAATTACACTCTCGAATTCCTATCATCCCTCCTCGAGCTAAACAAGAGCGGGTGGAAGAAGAAAACAAGCCCGGCAGAAACGGTGACGAGACAACCGGGCCGCGTCGAGGCTACCTTCCGTGACGGCGCCATCATCGTCGAGTGCGTCGAGTTCCAGGATGTCTATGGCCCGACGGTAACGCTGGAGGAGATGGATGTGCTCGTGTACTCAGGGGAGACGCGATCAGGAGGAAAAGCCGTCAACGACAAGCGGACGGCGCAAGGGTGGAAGCCGCTGGAGACGTTTGAAGTAGAGGTTTTGGACGCCAGCGAGCAGGGCGAGGGGACGAGCGAGACGGAGAACTTTGCGTCCAAGATTAGTAGCACGGCGATTCGGCAGCAAAAGGCTGAGGCGGCGGCAAAGGCAACGGCGACAGCGAGGCCAGAGAGCAAAAGCCGGCTAGCCTAGGTAGCTCATAGTGAGTATGACGGTGGAAATATCACGATTATTGGACAGAGGCTTGACTTCTATGATGCGTTTGATGTTTGTGGGATTTTGGCATCTTTGCTCACGCTTAGTTTTGCCCCTTAAACAGGGTCGTTATAATGCTTCGATTCACATGAAGCGTCTGGAAGAGTCCCCGAATAAGGTCCCAGGCAGGCCGTTGCCCAATATCCCATCACCTGAGGCAAAGGCCAGTAAACTCAACGGCCTTGTGTCCAACGTGCCGTATCACATGTAAGCCTGGCTCAACAATCAACCTTACAAAACGTTACATCCAAACCGTTTGGGCTGCTTCCAAACTGCTGCGTCAGCTGTCTCTGACGTAGAAGCTTGCGGACCATCGTGCATAGCCGTCTGGTCTCTGACTGGTCTGCTTCTTCCGAAACATTGCTTGACCGGTACGCCTTCCTCCTTTTCTCCCTGCATTCGGTATGCCGGTGGGAGCTCTGCCATCGCGCTTTTCTATAGTCCTCCATACAGCTGGTCGGATAGCGCCCGATGGCGTGATACTTTTTTGACGTTCTCTGACGTAGATAGAGGACACGTTTCGGAGGATACTCCGGCTTGGAGCATCGTGTTCAATGGGTTCGCAAATTGTGGCTCCATACACTACCTTTATGGGTAGGTGATAAATAATTTAAAGTTTCGTCGTTGCCTACCATCGCCCGGCTGATGTCAAATCTGGATTGTGAGGCCTGGTCCGTACTAGGCTCCGCAAGTCCGGAGACGGCGGCGGGTGGACCCGAACTCTGACCGCGACTAGTGGAGCCGGGATTCACGGTGACGAGATACGGCCCGGCTCACCTGGCGCGGACAGCATTAAACCAATTATGCAAAGGGCCACACGTTCACTGTTCAACTTTTGGAGGAGGCTGGCTGGATCGAGCACTGGGTGTAATGTATATGGTCTTGGTCTTCGTCTATTGTCATCTAATCTTCGTCTACTCTTCGTTTATACTTTTCTACGTATAGTTTGCTGTTCCTCTGTCTTTACTTTGACTTCTCACTCCAAGTCTTCTAGCCTCTTCTATATGGCCTTTTGTTTTCTAAGCCTTTTTCTTCTAGTCAGCTTCGCCGTCTGTGTCGAATGCCCCAATGATATCCAGCTGCAAGCCGTGCTCTCTACACGCTTCCTTGATCTCATGTGAAACTCCAGCATCGCCCTCGGGCACCACAAAAGTCTTCCAGGCTTTGGCGACGACGTCTTTGGTCTGGATCGTGTAGAGAAGGAGATCCGTCACCTCCTCGTCAGAGCCCATCTCGTTGAAAAACTCCAAGACCTCCATCTCTGGCGGGAGACCGACCGAGTGCATGCGCGGCTTCTTGGATGTCTTGCCAAAGAGCTGGTAGTCCCAGTTCATCCTCATGCTCTTGAGCGCCTCGAATTCTCTCATCCTCAACGGTTTGCGACAGCCGAGCGTTGGTGAGTCAATGGTGAACGTCTTGAGTGAGTGGGCCTGGGAGTTGAGGGCGAGGACGTAGTCGGCAAAGTTATCGGAGCTCTCCTCCAGCTCAGGCTTCGGCTCTGCCGTCTGCGTCATGACAAATTCTTCCAGGCCCTCTGGGAATTCGAGGAGGTCTGAGAGCCCGTCATCGTTAATGTCGCACTCGAGAAGGTGTAACTTCTTCAGGCCCGTCTCGTGAGGGCGCTCCATGAAGTCGAATCCTTTCTCGTCGAGTTTGGCGCGTTTGATGATCAGGGTCTCCAGCGTGGGGTGGGCAAAGATGTGGATGTTTTCTCGCAGGTCCCAGTAGGCGTCATCGGCGCACTGGTAGAATAGTGTGCACTCCTTGAGGTACGCCAAATCGAACGGCCCGTTGAAAAGGGTGCCGATGCCGTGTAAGAGGACGTGAGGAACAGCAATGTCGAGTTTCTCCAAATTTGACATAACGGAAAGTGTGCGCGAAAGAGTGTCCGACCGCGTGGGGTCATAGTGAGAGTTGTGAACGGGTGCGTCGAGAGCCAGGCGCGAAAGCTCCTCATTAGGATAAATCAATTTCACCTCATTAATGGCCGAACCACGCCGCGGTCGCCGGCCCAGCGATTCGCTGAAAGTAAGATGAAGCTCCGGGCTCTGGAAGTGAACGCTCTTGTACAAGACGGCATCAGCCAACCTATGGTAACGCTTGTTCAGGCGCGACACATTGCATAGGTCCTTGTGGCAGAGACGGTTCAGCGTCTCGATGAGAAGCTCCTCTGGCAAGGCGGCGAGCTTGTCGCGTTTGGCGTCGTCGCCGTTGACGTCGCCATCAGGGAAGAGCAGCATACTCGTCGCGTCCTCCCGAGTATACCTTCAGGCCCAGCCTTGATGGGGTGATGGTCTTATCTTCCCGTATCGTGGAGACCCTCAGCTGACGGGGGACCTTGCGGCAACAGCGGGGCGGGTTTAAATCGTATGAGCTGTTGAGCAGGGACGGTAGAAAGAAAGTAAGTGAAGTGACCGACTCACTTCAAGAACAAACTCTCCCCAAGAAACCAAAAATCGAACAAGAAATTCTGCAAGCAACAAGGTGCTCTAAACGGTTCACCTCAAGCAGCGTCGGATTGAAAGAATGCGTGGAATGTTTGAAATGCGGAAGTTGCATTTCAGCTGCGTCCATCGTAAGGTGGCCACTGTAACGCACGGCCACTGTGGCTGGGGTGCATGTGTCATCCTGTTTTCGGTTACGGTACGTACCTACCTACCCGGAAAGGTGGATCTGGTTTCGGGGCCACCTCCGGCATGGCATCCACAATGAGGGCCGGGGTCAGCTCCCGACCGGATCCGTTCACCAACAAGGAAGAATTGATGAAGCCAACGCTACCAATGATTGTTGAAAAATACGATAACCCGCTACGGAATGATTCGAGCCTTTCTGAACCTGTCGAACACAGTAAATCAAGAGCTTTTCGTCTCGATTTCCTCCTTGCTGGAACCCCACATCTCATGGCACTGGGTCATGTCAAGCTGCCTATCAAAAGCAAGCAAGTTCGTCAGACCGTATATCATTCCCACGCCGTGAGTTGGCTCAATGAATGTGCGGTCATTGACAATGTGACCACCCACAAGGTCATGCTTCTTCTCCATCTCTTTCCACTTTTCAACATGCTTCACCAGATAGTGCTCGGGCTGAGGGGCAGGGTGATCTGGCAGAGGAGGGGTTCCTCTCAAACCAAAGTATCCGCATATGACCGGCCATCTGTGTCTCCGAAGAAGGTTGAAAGTTGTCACCGGCGTTGTACTTCTGTTTGTGCGTGACGTCCGGATGCAAAGATGCGTAGATGCAAATCTTGGCGAGAATATCTTGGTTGCTTTCGTGGCTGAGATTGTTCCAACACTTTTCGTTGCCCGGGAAGGGATAATCGGCTCCATTTCCTTCGATTTCTGCAAAGAGAGAAAGGTAAATTCCTAGCGTCTGTGCCGCGCAACAAATGTTGTTGTTTGGCACGAAGCCAACAATTGTGTCAGCCCTGACTTCGCACCAAGACCATTTCCTCCCCTCGGAAAGCCGTGACAGTGCATCAATCTGGTGGTAGTAGAATAGCTGCGAGCTGAGCGGTTCGGGAATTCGTGGCAGCGATTCGCGCAAAGGGAGCTCCTTTGCGAACGGAAAGCGATCAATGAGATGGATGCCATACGCCTTGGTGCCTGTTGGAAGGACGACAAATTGCAGGCTTGGCGATAGGCGATCAATGGCAGTAACAGCCTTTTTAACGAGCTGAGTGTTGATCTCGCATTCATTTGCCGGGTCAAGGTTCATAATGTAAGCTGGTAGGTAGTATTAGCACGCGGGCTGGCGTGGACGTAGTTACTGGCGTTGCATACCGCAGAAGTAGACGTGGGTAATCTTCCGGAGATTCTCTACTTTCTTCTGGAGATCGTTTTCGAGAGCTTCTTGCCCACCAGGCGTAAAGATGTTCACACCACTGACGAGGTGAAGCTTCTGGGACATAGGCCACTGAATGGTGTCGTTGGTGATGGGGCGATTGGTGAGGGCCGTCACAGTATCAAATGCATCTTGGCTGGGATAGCCTTGAAGTATGGCATTGGTAATGGCCCATCCAGTAATTCCACTTGAGCCTATATCGTCTCATTAGAACGAGCAAATCATTTGAGGGCAGCGCTACAAACCAAATACTAGGGCATGCTTCTCAGCTGTCTTTGCCATAGTGGCTCCTCAAGCACGCAAACAATGAGTAGAGCGCTTGCTATAATTAGGTTGTTCGTCGGTCGTCACCCATTTACTTGATAAATTCTCTGTAGTTGCGTAATCCAAGATGCAACGGCAATTTAGGATATTGCAAAGGGAGAAGAAGAGGTTGAAGACCAGAGATACAGTAATCCGATAACATTGGTTGCTCAGAAGGATTGGGTCTGACTGCCTTTTTGTTGACCGCTTATCTGCGTGCCAAGATCGCTTATATTCAACAAGTGCCTCTTAAGGAAGCTGGATCTTGAGCCTACGAGCAAGAAGAGGATGGAAGTTGGTTTTCACTGAGGCGCTGTTTGCTCTGCTGCCTGACTTTGAGCTTAATCCAGTCATCACCGTCCACGAGTCCGAGCGGAAGTTAGCACTGAATCCCATACAGTAGACATTGGACGGAACTGGAATACAAGAGATCAAGTCCATCCTAACAGGAGTCTTACTGAGAATAATCCTGTCTTTTCATGTAATAGAAACTTGGTCGGTGAAGGCATCTGTAGAGGCAGCGTTGCAAATGCTGTACTATCCACTATCTGCATGCCCGTGCTTTGAAGCAAGCACGAGGGTGCAACGACCGACATTTACACGGCATCTGTTTGTCTCAGTTCAGCGAAAGAAAATCTACAGAACAATCAAATTATATTGAAATAAATCATTCTAAGTGTGACTATGGTAAGACGGGACCATCCGGACTAAGGTCGTGACCTGGGGGGAGCCATAAGGAGCACAAGCGTAGTAGTGGAAGACACAGCGAGGTATGGAAAGATACTTCTACTCTGTCACATCTCTACAGGGGAACCCCATCCAACTGTCTAAAGTAAACTGAATATTAGGTAGATCATGTGAAATAGTAAGAGGTATTTCTACAGTAACGTCAGGTAGGCGTAGCATGAGTAGCTTGGAGGCTGGCAAAAGGTCGGTCTAATCGAGCAGATAGTAAGGACAATCCTGCGAGATCTCATTGGTTTCTGGGGCACCCTCTCAGGTCGCGTCACTAAGAATTTGAATGGGTGAATAGGTGTCGTATTGTTTCGTGTTCCAATCTTCTCCTCCTCATCCTGACGCACAGCCGATGATCCCCGGAGGAGCTACCCCGCGTGGACTCCGCACAAGCTTACAGAACCGTGAGGGGCCGAGGTCAACGCCCCACCCCAAGTCCCCCGGCCGTCTGATGCTCAAAGGATGTATCGGGGACACTGAATCATTAGCGTCTGGAGCCGCATTGAGCTCTGAGTGGTACGAGAGTCTGCCATGGAGGGGAGTTCTTGAGGTACCTGGACTCGCCTGTTGGTACGGCGCAGGGAATGGTCTCGGCAAAGTCGCGGTGCACTACCTTAGGCTTGGGACACTTCTCTCGACTCCGTGACGCCTTTCGGTATAAGTTGAAGGTTGCTTCAAGAACACCATCCAATGGTTCAAGCAGAGGGACCAGCAACGGAGCCCACGGATAACTAACTCGCTCAGCCATGGATAGTCCTGCTTTTGCTCACCTGCCACCATGGGTGAAGGCGAAGCTCTCAACTTTGGCCATCGAGAAGATCAACGCCGTGTACGAGTGGGTCGAAAATGAGTGTATCCCGAGAGAGCAGGTCTTCAAAGCCCAGCTTGAGGCCCGACGCTGGACGACACCACCGTTGATACACGAACTGCGCAAAAAGGCCAAAGAACGCGGTCTATTCAACCTCTTTCTACCCAATCACTTCAAAGAAAGTCCGGGTCTCACAAACTTGGAGTATTCATGCTGCGCCGAGATCATGGGCCGGTGTTATTGGGCAGCCCAGGTAGGAAACATGCATTTATACCATAGCGTTTTGAAAGAATTGTATGTTGACTTGCTTTAGACGATGAATTGTCACGCTCCGGAGACGGGCAACATCGAACTTTTGGCCAAGTACTGCAACGAGGCACAGAAGAAGAAATGGCTCCAGCCACTTCTCGATGGCACTGCATCCTCCGCCTATTCCATGACCGAGCCGGACGTAGCGAGTTCAGACGCAACACAAATCGGAATCAGCATCAAGCGCGAAGGCGACTTCTACGTAATTAACGGGAGGAAGCTCTACGGAAACTGCCTCTGGAACAAGGATCTATCGTTCTACATCCTCATGGGGTGCACCAACCCGGACAACCCAAAATGGTCCCGTCACTCCATGATCATCGTCCCTTGCGACACGCCAGGAATCAGCCAAGTTCGCAACCTGACAATCATGGGCTACGACCACGCGCCAGAGGGCCACGGAGAATACCTCTACGAGAACGTCCACGTCCCGGTAGAAAATATCATCCTTGGAGAAGGGCGCGCCTTCGAGATCGCCCAAGGTCGCCTGGGTCCCGGCCGGATTCACCACTGCATGCGCTTAATCGGGCAATGCGAGAGGGCCTACGAGTTAGCTCTGATACGCTGCAACGACGCCCGCAAGAAGCCCCGCGGAAAGCTCATCGGCGAGTTCGATTCCAACATTGAGCGCGTTGCGCAGATGCGTCTTGAGCTGGATGCCGCCCGCCTCGTCGTCCTGAACGCCGCCGATACGATGGACCTCTTGGGTAACAAGGCTGGCAAGAGAGCGATTGCGCAGAGCAAGATCTTGGTGCCGATGATGGCTACCAAGATTATTGACGAGTGTATGCAGATGTATGGAGGACAGGGGCTGACGCAGCATACGCCGCTTCCTGAGATGTGGACGTATGCGCGCTTTGTGAGGATTGCGGACGGGCCTGACGCGGCGCATCGGCATCAGGTTGGGAGAGAGGAGATGAAGACGGCGGATGAGGTTATCAAGAAGCACAAGATGTACCAGGAACGCTGTAAGAAGTTTGCCGAGCAGTACGGGGAGCGGTATGTATCATTTGACTAGGGCTTTGTCACAGGGTATTCGAATTCAGCTCTTCAGATAAAGAGAATGCTAGTTCTTTAAGTCTTTCCTTGAGGTCAGACTAATACTCTACTAGTAGTAAGCTGGTGTACGAAACGTTCACTATCTCATGGTTAGTCTTGAGAGCTATCGCCAACTGGATAAGCTTTCCTTCGGTCGATGTCTGATGCTCAATTACCTTCAGCAGCACCTCCTGCACAATATCTGTGTCAAATATTGTACAACTCATAATCCTGCGCCTTAGCAACCATAAACGCATGCGATCCAATCACAAGAATCAAAGTGGGGAGAACGTTGATTCTGCGGAAAGTCAGCCGTTGTCCCGAATCAGTTATGCTTAATTTAGACAACCAACTCGACTCAGGATGTCACTACTTACTCAGCAGTCAATTTGTACAAAAGACCCAGTATTATCGTCAGCTTTGGTCCTTCTGTCCAGCAAAAGATCCCCGCAGCTTGGTGGCGTTTCTCGTGTGGTGTCGTGGAACCCAAGAGCTTTTCGTTGGCACAGAAGGTTGCGTAAGCTGCGCCAAGTTGGACGTGCATGCGTCTCCAGGCAAACGAGAACAACGATCCCCTCATCGAGGGTGCATTCATGCGCTGTGATTATGTGATGCCGGAATGAAGGAGGACGCCGAACTTATTTCCGTGGTCCTTCAATAGCCTTTGTGTAATGGGTCATGGCCGAAGTTGTAGATGTCAAAAAGATCATCAAGATTGATTTGTTCATTTAAGCCCGTTCTGTTCCGTACTGTCAACTGAAGTTCCGTCTGAGATCCGTCGCCTTATCTCATACAGTGCCCTTGCTTAAAACATCTGCTCATCATGGATACATTCGGGTCGTCGTTGAAGGAAGCTGTGAACGGCAGCAAGTCGGAGTTCCCTTGGAGCAAGACCAACCTCCCCAAGCAGCTGTACATCAATAACCAAGTGAGCAGGTATCCCTCCTCCAAGAAAACTTTACGTTACTGACAGAACGTTAGTATATCGACTCCAAGAACAGCAAGAAGCTAGAACTCTTCAACCCCAACGACGAATCTCCTGTGGCCGACGACATCCCCCTCGGCGGACAAGAGGACGTCGATGCCGCCGTGGCAGCAGCAGAAGCCGCCTTTCCGAAATGGAAGAAGACGCTCCCGACCGTGAGGCGAGACATGCTGAACAAGCTCGCCGATTTGGTCGAGCAGCACGGCCAGGTCCTGGCGGACCTCAACCGTCTCACGCTAGGAGCACCTTGGGCGACTTTTGGGAGCTTGGAGATGAAGATGGCCAGCGAGAGTCTGAGGTACTTTGCGGGCTGGACGGATAAGTTTCCCGGTGAGACGTATCCTCAGGAAGATGGTGAGATAGCGCGTGTCTTTGATGTCGAATTTTGACTAACGTGGATGTAGGCTTCTTGAAGATAGTTCGCAATGAGCCACTTGGCGTTTGCTGTGGAATCATTCCCTGGAACGGCCCTGTTGGGAGTATTGGCATGAAGGTATGAAATCAAACGTAATTACTCTTCGTAATTAGTTCATGCTACTAAAGACTTGTAAAGGCTGGTCCTGCGCTTGCAATGGGCAACTGCTTCATCCTTAAGCCATCAGAGAAGACGCCGCTTGCAGCGCTGGCCTTCGGCACCCTCATTGAACAGGCCGGGTTCCCGCCAGGCGTATTCCAGATAGTCTCTGGCGACGGAAGTACGGGTGCGCTATTGGCCAGCCACATGAAGGTCCGCAAGGTCAGCTTCACAGGCTCGACGAACACAGGCCGCAAGATCCAAGAGATGGCGGCCAAGAGCAACATGAAGCGGGTGACGCTCGAGCTCGGCGGAAAGTCGCCCGCAGTCGTGTTCAAGGATTGTAACCTTGAGAACGCAATCACCTGGTGCGCGAATGCCATCACGGCGAATACGGGGCAGGTGTGTGTCGCTGCTAGTAGGGTTTATGTCGAGGCGCCCATCTATGACGAGTTCGTCGCCGGGTATAAGAAAGCCATGGAGGAGAAGCTCAAGGGTGTCGGCGACCCGGACGCCGAGGGGACTACCATTGGCCCACTGGTGGATAAAGCTCAATTTGAGAGTGTTCAAGGCTTCATTGAGCGTGGTCAGCGAGGTCAAGGGACACTTTTGGTTGGTGGGGGTCGAGTTGGCGACAAGGTAAGGAAGTCTGTCCATGATCACCGGCGAGACGAGAGAAGAATGTTAACAGCCAACCTAGGGCTACTATGTCGAGCCCACGGTTTTCGAGGGCGTGGCGCAAGATGCCGAGATTGCTCGACAGGAGATCTTTGGGCCAGTGTCCATCATCAACAAGTTCGAAACCGAGGAGGAAATTATTGAGAAGGCCAACGACACCAACTTTGGACTCATGGCCGGCATCTTCAGTCAAGACATCAACCGTTGCTTGAGAGTTGCTTCAGAGATTGACAGTGGCATGGTGGGTATCAACTGTATCAGCCTGATGTTCTTGACGGCGCCTTTTGGTGGTACCAAGGAGAGTGGGTTGGGTAGGGAGGGCGCCATCAATGCGCTAAGGACCTTCACGGAGCCCAAGACTGTCATGGTGAACCTGACGTACTGAGAAGGCCATGATAGTCGCACATAATAGTATATCCCGAATAGCGAGGTGATAGGTTATTCTATTACTACTACTATGTGATCGTAGCTATACGGTGCCTACCCTATCTTCAAGTCTCATAAGGTCGTTTATGTTCTCACATGTTATGCCGGGATATGATATCCTATAATCTAGCCATGCTACAAAGACGCATCGTCTCAGAGCTTGGATTGTCTTCCAGCAACTAACCGCGCCCCTCCATCGATCTCAATGACCACGCCGTTTCTGTCCGGAGATATCAGTAGGAAAAGCTCGATCCAGTCGGGATCGCACTTACACGTATTTGGCTGCCCGAGAACACAGGAACACGGCGACTCCAGCAAGGTCTTCTGGCTCACCAAGCCGGCCAAGCGGGTTACCTCTGCTTAACTCTTCAATACCCCCAAGGTTGTCGATTAGACCCTGTGCCAATTTCGACGGGAAAAAGCCGGGGGCAATGATGTTGGACGTGATGTTCTTCGGGCCCAGCTCGACCGCGAAATTACGTCCCAGATGCTGGAAACCATGAGCGACACTGCAACTTACGGCCATCAAAATGAGAGGCCAGAACTCACATTGGCAGCTGCTTTCGATGCCGCGTACATGATTGTACCGTGTTCCCCAACGTGCGGTACATTACCACCCGCAGTCGAACTCACCGTTAGCACCCGGGCCGGGTCGTCTTCTGACGCTGCTTTCTCCAGTAGAGGTAGGAACCTAGAGTAGCGTCAATACATCGAGGCCATTTCATAAACTCGCTCACGGCAATGCGCTCACTTTTGAACCAACTCAAACACGCCCCTCACGTTGAGATCCAAAATCTTGATTGAGCTGCTGGGCGGAGCATCCTCAAACTTGGAACCCCACGCTGCCCCAGCATTGCAGACCAAGATATTCAGCCCCTTCTCGCCCACGATGTCCTTGACTTCTCCGACGAGGCGGACGATATTGTTAGAGTCGGCGACATTTGCAGCAATTCCGATTGCTTTTCCTCGAGTATTGGGGAGGCGGTTAAGTCTTTCAATGGCCTGGCTGATGCCTTGCTCGCCCTCCAACTTTCTGGCGGTGATGATGACGTGAGAGCAACCCGAGAGAAGGAACGCTGTGGCCATGTGCAGGCCTAACCCACGAGATCCCCCAGTGACGAGGGCAGTCTTTCCCTCAAGGGAGAACGTAGAGCCGAAGTCTTTGAGTTCCGACATGGTGGGAGGGATAGTTGAGTAGACGGAGTGGCCCACAAGCGACAGCCTTAGCAAATCGCTTGCACAACACAGCAACAAAAGTGCCAGGTCAAGATAGTCAGCGTCCAAACTCAAGGCAACGCAAAGAGCTTCCCGGGGCTATTGCCGGTCGCTTCGGTTTAGTCTCCTCCCGGGGAACTCGGGCAAGTCGGGGTGGCAACATGGCGCCCGGCACGACCCCAGGTTTCCCCAACGCTACCCCGCATAAACCCCCCTACCGAGGCGATCCCGAGGGAAGACACGGCCATGGTTCCCATAGAGCTAGGACCTGGACAGGATGACGACGGTACAACACACGCGGACCCATGTCGGGGTTCGTAGTCAGATTTCATGATAATACCTGACTCTCTAGACTCATTAGGTTGAGATGTACCTTTAAGCTTCGTGAACTTCGATCCGGCGACATCCAACATCTCATTCAAGTTCTGGATTTCTCCTTCAGCCCTTGTGTCCAATCTCACTCGATTCCCATCTTCCGAGCGCACCAGAGCTGGCCAACAATAACAAAATGGTCTTCAACTCACCTTATCCGCCCCTGGATATTCCAAAGACAAACCTCCTCTCATACCTATTCCCCAAAGGGTCAACGCCATCTGATGAACCCATATGGATCGACTGTAAAGATGACAAGATCAACCTCTCACCAAAACAGATGCTGCGATGGGTGAAGAGACTCGGATTCGGCCTCCAAAACCTCGGTCTCAAACGCGGAGACGTGGTCATGATATGCACACCCAACCAGATCTTTGTCCCAGTGGCATACCTTGGTATCGTATCCGTAGGCTGCGTATTCAGCGGCGCCAACCCAGCTTACACAGTTCCTGGTACGTTTTCTCAGCGGAATTACAACCACTCATCAGATGTTTGACTAAGACTGGGCAGAGCTTGTGCATCAAATGACCAATACTGCGGCCAAGGTTGTACTCGTCCACCCAAATCATCTGGAGCAGGTCTTGGAAGCCGCAGACAAGTCCAGAATACCTCGTTCTCGGGTCTTTCAGTTCTCCGAGGTTGAGAACCCGGTCAAGCACGGTGTGCCGGACTGGAGGCAGATGATTGGCACGCCAGCCCAGGCAGACTCATATCAATGGCCAGAGTTGAGCGCGGAAGAGTCAACCAGCACCGTTGCAACAATCAACTACTCATCGGGCACTACTGGTCTGCCAAAAGGTGTCTGCGTATCACACCACAATCTCATCGCCAACGTCGAGCAGACGATCTACATGAGATACGCGGAAAAGCCATACTCCTTTGAGAACCGGCCGCGGGAGAGATGGATCGGCTTCTTACCCCTCTACCACGCCTATGGCCAGCTCTACGCCGTCCTCATGGCGATGAGACTGGACGTCCCGATCTACATCATGAAAGAGTTTCGCTACGAGGACTTCCTGTTCGCTATTGGCAAGTACAAGATTACCAACCTGCAAGTCGCGCCACCTATCCTCGTCATGTTGTCAAAGCGGCCGGAGACAGCCCGCTACGACTTGTCGAGCGTCAAGGATATGCTCTGCGGAGCGGCGCCCTTGTCTCGGGAGCTGCAGAATGAGTGCCAGAGGAGGTTCTCGGTGCAGATCAACCAGGGGTGGGGCATGACGGAAGTGACTTGCGGGGGAATTATGGTGCCTGGGGGCATCAAAGACGACACTGGCAGTGTGGGAAAGCTGGTTTCAAACTGTGAGTGTAAGCTGGTGGATGAGGAGGGTAAGGAGGTCGGCTTTGGTGAGCCGGGAGAGTTGTGTATGAGGGGTCCCAACATTTGTCTCGGGTACTGGCGCAACGAGGTTGCCACTAAGGAAGCGTTGGTGAACGGTTGGCTCAAGACGGGTGATATCGCCGTCTGCAATGAAGATGGATACTTTTGGATTGTAGACCGCAAGAAGGTGAGTGGCTTTTCCTTGCGTCTTCGAAATCGGACAAGAGCCTAACAAGATGTAGGAGCTTATCAAGGTCAACGCCCTTCAAGTTGCGCCTGCAGAATTGGAAGCCGTCTTGCTCGAGAATGAGCACGTTGCGGACGCAGCCGTCGTGGGAATCACAATGTAAGCAACATACATAACACTGAAACGCCTGAAGCTACCAGAACACTGACATCGCAACGTAGTGAGGGCAACGAGTGGCCTAGAGCTTACGTGGCTCTCCAGGATGTCTCATTAGGGAAGGTCAAGCCAGAAGATATCCAAGAATGGATCAAACCGAGGGTCGCCAAGCACAAAGCGCTCGTCGGTGGCGTAGTGTTTGTCAACGAGGTTCCTAAGCTTGCCAGCGGGAAGATCCAGAGGAAGGTGATGCGCGAGTGGTCTAAGAGAGATGCAGCGGCCCTGGAGGAGGCCGCAAAGAGTCCGAGATTGAAGTTGTGAATTGATAGTGGGGTAACACAACAACGGATTTGATACTTGGCGCCGGAGGAGGTGATGTTTATGGATTGCAACTCTTGTATCTAATTGGTTGGTCATACAGGAAGCATCTGCAACTCATTATCAACTGTCGACTAGCATACAAGGGACAACTAACATGCAGGCACATAATGTTGTGAATAAAATCGTGATGAAGATCTCGACGAACTCCATGCTCAATCAAGTGAAGTCCTCCGTGCTTGAATTAGTACAAACTTGAGCAGCATCGCTTCCGATTAGACCGGCCATCCTCGATCTTACTTACAGGAACGTCAAAGGAGGCATGTAGCCCTTTGTGTAACCCCAGTTCACGCTCCCTTTTCCGGTTGAGGTCTTCCGACATACCCGCAGCCGTTTCCACCTACTTTTTGCTTCCCCGCAAAGCCGCATATGCCCCTCTGGCCAAGGTCGTCACTGCTACCCTCATGTAGTCTGTTATGTCAGGCTTTCGCCGGGGTCCGCGGTCATATGTGATATCCCGAAGATCACTTATACAGTGCAACATTGTGGAGTGCGGACACTAGATCCTTCCCGGGCGGCAATACCCTTCTACTTCATAAGCAACTGCCGAAGCATGTCTTGCCAATCCCTCTTGAGCGTGCGTGTATGTCTCGGAGCTCATGTACAGAAGACATCAGCCAAGTTGTGCTCGCGCCTACCCTTCAGCATGGTGGGCAACAAGAATGGCGTATCAGATTCGGCCAATGTTGGTCTCGATCAACACCCACTTCGTATTCGACCTCTCCATACTCCGATGGGCCCGAGTGGATGCCATATCTTAGAGATGACCCTCAGTTCTCATAGGCAGGACAGAATTTTGAGTCAGTAAAGCCATTGTGCGGCTCAAAAGTCTGACTCGAAGTGACTCTTGGATTTACCGTCGATGGCGTTGTGGATTCAGTCGTCTGATGTTGATGCTGCCTGCACCTGCAGTATGACATGCACGCGGCCGTCTTCCGGGGCAGCTTGGACGCCACCGCCGAGGTTGTCTGATATCCGCCATGTCTAGGAAGAGTTGTGAGTGTGAGGGTAGAACCTCGTCTCAATATACAGGCATACAAGGTTATGGCCTGCCTTTGGCGGAGAAACTCCCTGTTTGTGTAACGCTAAAAGTATGTCTACAGTCAATGGTAACGACGATTTGATACCTACGTGACGTTGATTTACGGAGACCATCAACCTCCCAGCTTACGTGTACCCCTTCTCCATATATACTGCGCTCTCACGGCTAACTTACATGAACATAAATATCTAGCCCTCTGTTTTCCCTTGACACCAGGCTTATCGAGCTTGAATTTCGTGTAACCTCAGATTTTCTATAATCCACTTCATCCAAGCATTTCTGATTTGATACGATTTGACCATGGGGGACATACTGCTGCCAGAACCAACAAGTGCGGGAGACAGAGACGCAGCAAGACGCCCAACGGCTCCGATCCATACAGAAAGGCACGTACGGATCATCTGTGTCGGCGCAGGTGCCTCTGGGTTACTGCTAGCCTACAAGCTCCAACGGCACTTCTCCAACTATTCGCTTCAGTGTTACGAAAAGAACCCCTCGGTAGCTGGGACATGGTTCGAGAACAGATATCCCGGGTACGTAGGCCTCTAGTCAAAGTCAACAAAGACTTCCCTGGACCAAGACCTTCAAATCCTGACCTTGATAGGTGTGCCTGCGACTTTCCGTCGCACAACTACACTTGGACTTTTGAGCCAAAGCTGGACTGGTCCGCCGTATATCCCCCCGCCCCCGAGATCCTGGAATACTTTGAAAACTTCGCCAAAAAGTATTCACTATACCAATACATCAAGCTCCAACACAAAGTCATCGGCGCCTACTGGAACTCGGGAACCGGCGGCTACGACGTCCACGTCAAAGACACGTCCACCGGCGAAACGATCGTCGATCACTGCGACTTCCTCATCAACGCTGGCGGCGTCCTCAACAACTGGAAATGGCCAGAGATCCCCGGCCTCTCAGAGTACCGCGGAAAGTTGCTCCACACCGCAAATTGGGACGACGCCGTCTCTCTAGAAGGCAAGCATGTCGGCCTGATTGGCAACGGCAGCTCAGGCATCCAAGTCCTGCCCGCAATCCGCGAACAGTGCAAACGCGTTACGACCTTTATCCGCAGGCCGACGTGGGTGTCCCCCGCGCAAGGTCTCGAACAGCACTTATTCAGCCCCGCGGAGAAGGCGGAATTCGCTACGAAGCCGGGTGCCCTCCTCGAGTACCGCAAGAATAATGAGTCTGGCCTCAACGGTCAGTTTGGGATATTCTTGAAGAACAACAAGATCAACGAGGAAACGCACGCGTACTTTATCCAGCAGATGAAGGAGAAGCTCAACGACCCCTCACTCGAGTCGAAGCTCATTCCGGACTGGAGCGTGGGATGTCGTCGGTTGACGCCGGGTGTCAACTACCTCGAGTCGCTCACCAAACCCAACGTGGAGGTTGTCTACGGCGGGATCAAAGAGATCACGGAACGGGGGTGCATCGCTGACGACGGGCGGGAGTATCCTGTAGACGTATTGATATGCGCCACGGGCTTCGATACATCCTTCAAGCCGCGGTTCCCCATCGTCGGTCCTTCGGGAGAGAATCTCCAAGACAAATGGGCCTCGGATCCCGAATCGTACTTGGGTATGGGGGCGTCCGGCTTTCCAAACTACTTCATCATTCTGGGACCCAACTGCCCCATTGGCAATGGTCCCGTCCTCCCAGCTATCGAGGCGCAGGCAGATTGGATGCTCAAGGTCATTGACCGCTATCAGACTACCAATGTCGTCTCATTCACGCCTAAAGAAGAGGCTGTCCGCGACTTTGTGGACTACAAAGAGTCCTTCATGCCACAGACCGTATGGTCGGATTCCTGTCGGTCGTGGTATAAGCCCCGTGACGACGGGCCCGTCGTGGCGCTATGGCCGGGCTCGACGCTGCATTACATTGAGGCCATCAAGGAGGTCCGGTGGGATGATCTCGAGGTCAAGTACGCCGGGAATAGGTTTGCGTGGTTGGGAAACGGGTACTCACAGACGGAGCTGGATGAGACCGCGGACTGGGCGTATTATATTCGGGACGAGGATGATGATCCGCCCCTGTCGACGGCTGGGAAGAGGAAGTTGCTTACCAAGAGTGGTACTATCATGGGCCCGAGGAAGACTGTGACGTTTTGCGGGAATCCTGAGGAGGATCAGCAGCATCAGGAGGTGAAGGAAGTATCTAGATTGTAATGAAGAGCGAACATAGTATTACGTTTTGCTAGCTAATTAGCTACTTCTCATGATCTCTGTGGATATCTTGCCTGATTACCTTCAGCATGGTACATCTCGTTAGTCAGTAGACTCACAAAGTTATCGTGAGATACCACTTGGTGATTCATAAACACTGCAGACAAGACGAAATAAAGAAATGGTCAGAAAAGCAAAAACAACAGAAGCCGACCGGACCGAGCTTCGAACGCAGAAGTCCTGAAGAGTACGGAGCATCACGCAATAGTCAGCAATTCACGGCTTTCACCCCTCGGTCAACAGGCCCGATATTTGTTGTTACGATGGGAAGGCACTAGACTTATCATAAGGTGTGCTGACCTGACCTCGCGGTGTGTATACCGACTGGCAGTTCCGGAATATTCCATACACATTCACTTCCTGAACCAGACCACCCACCTCGTGTGCCACGGGTAGCAGTCACGTTTCGCGTGAATGATATTGTTGATTAATCCAATCTTTCTGGATTTCAGCAGCGCCCAAAGCTGCGAATCAGTATGTGGCGTGGTCGTGAAAGGCTGATCTACAACACCCCCCAACACTAGCACCATACAACTACATAAAGACAGCTGGAGATCACGGCAGAGCTGTCAGGATAACGACTACAGTCAGAACCACATCAGCTCTCATCTACCCTTCTCTTCAAGAGAAACCTCAGAACTAGTGTCAACTTCTCTCTCAAAACACACGAATGTCCAACCGCGTCTCCAACGTTCTCATCACATGGGTCCTGGCCGCCGTTGCAGCGGCCGACGAGCCCATCCCGGATACCGGATCAGTCGGAGCAGGCGCTATCGCAGGCATCGTCATCGGCGGGGTCTTTGTCGTGGCACTGCTTGCCGCGGCTGTTGGTTTAGCGCGCAATCGAACGTGGTAGCTTGATGCCGAAATGAAGACTTAGACTTAGACTTACATGAAAGACTTCAAGCCGCCGAAACAGAGTTGCTGGCTGAAAGGAATAGTCTTCTTCTACTTAGAGGGAGATGACAAGCCAGCTCGTCGATTGCTCGAGATATGAAGCCTGGGTTGGTACACACGCTTGCCGGCAAAAACCCAACCACCTATGCCGTCGAGGCTCATCATCATTGCGAAGAGCAGGCGCCGGACCGAAACACAGTGGAGGGGGAATACAAGTCGGCCAGGTAGGAATAGGAGTGGGTATTCATCAAGATCATTACAATATAGTTATAGTTGACGGCTCTATGCCGCCTTGGCTTGCGCCTGTGCTTCTTCGACAAATTTCTCCACCTCTTTCTGCGCCTCTGCGGCCTTCTTAGCACCTTCAAAATCCGGCATTACTTTTGCTTCATGACCCAGAGCCACTGTGTGAAACATGTTAGTGAAGAGTTCCTCACGACCAGTGGTGGGGGGCAGTAACTCACGTCTGTCAAACAAGAAGTACGAGGTGACGAGGAGGATGGGCATGGCCACCATGGTCGCGGTCCACTTCCTCGCCGCCGTGCCGTACGCTTTCCGGTATTCCTTGCTGTTCGGGTTCAGCTTGGGACGGACTTCCGCCTCTGGGGCGCGGGGCGGAGGGGGCGTGGGTGCGTAGGGCCGGATGGGAGCCGCTGTCGGCGTCGCTGCTGCTGTAACAGGAGCCGGTTTCGGGGCGGCTGCCGTGGGAGAGCTTGCTGTGGGCGCGGGACTTGGGACTGAAGTGGGCGTCTTCGGGGCGGCGGCGGCGGCAGCAGCAACGGGAGCAGCAGCGGGAGCAGGGGCGGGAGGTGGAGGGGCAGCCTTTGCCGTAGCCGCCTTCTTGGTGGCAGTAGCAGATGTCGCAGCAGCAGCCTTGGTGGTGCTCGTAGTGGTCTTCTTGACAGTTCTTGTAGCTTTCGGGGCCGTACTCGAAGCAGCAGCTGCCTTGGTGGCGGTGGAACTGGCCTTGGTCGAGGCCGACGAGGTCTTGGATGCAGCAGCGGCCGTGGTAGTGGTGGCAGCAGCCTTCTTGCTAGCAGCAGAAGTGCTCACGCTCTTCTTCGTCGTGGTCGTGGTCTTCTTCGCCGCAGTGGTGGTGGACTTTGCAGCGGTAGCAGGCGCAGCGGCGGCCGTCGTCTTCGCGGCGCGGGTGGCATAGCATCGTTGGGCAAAGAACCCCGCGCGAGAGGCCGGGGCCGAGGGGTTGGCGGCGACTGCGCGCCAGGTGGTGCTCGCAAGAGCTCGGGGGAGGGCCATTGAGTTCATGGCTTGTTTCTGGTCGTCGATGCTACTGTTCTATAGCAGAACGGAATTAAAGATGGTTGTTGGAGGTTGTAAGGCTTCAAATCAGGTACAGTAGAAAAATGTGCGTGATAAGCTCGTGACTGGAGAAAAATTGCGCCTCAACGAGCGTAGAGTCATATCGAGCCTTCTTGCGGTAGCGTGGACAGGGATTGGGTGACGATGTGCGAATGCGCCGTCAACAGATCGACATTTGGATGGTGGGATGCGACTTTGGCTGGGCTTGTCCAGCGCGTTCGCGTCGTGATGGTTCATGCGCTGGAAATTGGCAGGTGGGTTGAGTACCGTGGACAGCCGCTGACAGCCGAGGGGGAGTCTCTCCAGATGCTGCCAGGTGGCCGTAGGTTGGAAGGCAGGTGCACTCACGATAGCCCCACATGTCAAATGCTCAGAGCTTCTTTTTCGGTGCTCTGTTTTTTGATAGTCGTCATAGCTCCAAGCTCTTTTCTCTGCAGCTATCGTCACCTCGACCATTTCATACTCTGGCCGTTGCGCCTACCTCTTTATATAGGGTTGACTGTAGCATTACGCATAGAATCGTCTGTCACGGAAGACCGGCTCATTCTTCAGTTCTGGCTTATACACTGCTCCCAAGAAGATCGCAGATGTTCTAAAAATGCATTGCAGCTCATGATAAGGACACTACAATATGTCTTGACAGGGGACCGCCCGACAAAAGACCCTCCGAAGGGCTGCATGCTTGACGAATACAGACAGACACGAAGCGGCTCGTATACCGTTGCAGAGCTGGCGCATCCGGCACAGCGAAGGGCTGAAGTTGCTCGCCACATCGCCAACGGCCATGAGAACTACAAGCATCTTTGCGGAGTAAACTCCTACCGTTGCATGTCAATCAGGGCAGTCACCACGACGAGAAGTTCAGCTCAAGCCGGGAAATCTTGTTCGACATAGAAGGCAGACGAAGACCGAGTTTCAGGGCATGATAGCAAGGCTTGACAGATGAAGGCCCCCATCTATTTCGCAGCTGCTGCCTCCAATTCCAGTGAACTGGACAGTCCTCATTCACATGCAACGACATCCCGACCAGAGTGGAGAACAGCCTAAAATTATGGCCGCGTTGCACTAACAAAGCAAATGTCTTTCCGGGCAACGATGCAGGGGGAGGATAGAGATTGGCGGCCGGTATAGAAGAACTTACGACATGATGGATATGTGGGCTGACGAGACCAGTTTATAGGACAGCTCTGGCAGTTTGCATCGAGTCTTTGGCAGATGTGGGCCATTTCGACCTGCATGAATGCTTGCTCGTCAGGGAAACTAAGTGGCTCTCAGAACTACAAACTTGTAGATGCCCGCCTCATTTGCATTGTCGGGCAGATCATTGGGCACCAGGGGACGATCTCAGATGGGCAGATCGGGGGCCAAGAGCGTCTCAAGAGCCTGGTATTCGATCCCCCGAAGTTATCCATCTTCGCACAACGCTATGTATTCGACTAGACGGTCGAGTCTTTCGGTTTTCGTTTCGTTCGGGATGCCAAGAGATGCATGATGGACGGTCGGCTTTCTTCTACTGTGGCGTGCCCAGCCAGTGTTGGCAACCATTTGGAAATTCGCCATCAATCGTACACGAGAGACGCACGCGGGAATGCGAGTGCATTGCAGACTTGCCTCGAGGCTCGGGAAGAGGGCGGCGGACAAGAAACGAAGTAGAACGAGATCGTGTCGAAATCGATCAATCTGTGGTTTCCTTTGATGAGAAGGCAACAAATCCCCGGACAAGTATGCGGGCGGTGCCGTGCCGATAAATGCAGATGCAGATGCGGTCGCGTATTAGCATGGCGAGTGCCAGAGAAAAGAAGAGGGAGAGATGAGGCCACAAACAGGCCGAATTGCAATTCGCTTCGGCGGTTAATTCAATCACATCGGGCCGCTCCCTGCAGCCCTTTTTTTTTTTTCATTACGAAACAACATGAATGTTGTATTATTGTATCGCCTAACGAAAAGAATTGGAGAATTCCAATGCAGCATGGGAAAGGGGGAAACGAAAGGGTACTGTAAAGGGCAAAACCCCGCTCGTGGGGAGGTGAGACAGTGTTTTCTTGCGTTCGCGGTCGTTCATCATGGCCTGATTATCTGCAGATTGGGGTGGCAGCGAGATGCAAGCATCCATGCCCACCACCAAACCTGTGAAACTGCTGCTTGCTATAGCGGCACGCATCGAGTCAACTGTACAGCGAGTGCTGTTAAGTAAATTGCTGTCGTGAGTTTAGAGAACTTGGGGCACACACGCCACCAACGCAACGAGAGCGACGAGACAGTGATGAGTTTAACTGCTTTGTTTGTTATTGTTTGGTTGCTGTGTCTTCTATGAGATATCTAATGCATCCTCTATATCTCTAGAGCCAGATGTGGTATCATCTTTCCGTTGTATCCTCCACTCTTCTCCTCAGCCTGTCCAGCTGGCACAAGTGTATACACGGTAGTTACATAACCCTCACCCCCTCCCAACACCAGAGACATCATTCATCTACTTGGTATTGTTGAAGCGGTCGATACCGTTCTTGATCCTCTTGTCGATGCCCTTTGCCATCTTCTCGAGGGGCAGCCTGTTGTCGATGCGGCGGACAATGTTGGAGACGGGGGGCTCGACGCGCTTGATGCCCCTCTCGGCGGCGGGCGTGAAGTAGGAGAGGTTGCGCTCCCAGCGGGGAGCCCACTTCGTCGTCTGGGAGGCGAGGCGCTGCTCGGCGCCGGGGAGCATGAGGTAGATGGGGAGGAAGGCACCGACGGTGGCGACGCCGTAGCAGAGGGTCTCCGTGGACTTTGCGGCGGGGATACGGGGGGCCATTGTGTGTATGTGGGTGATGTGTGTATTTGTATGGGTTTGTGTGGATGATGGGGAGAAGTAATCAACCTTGAAAAGTCGGTGATGTATAAAGCCGCTGTGGTTGTAGTTTGGCTTGTGATGTGTATATGTCCTCCGAGCTGATGATGGGCTGGATGGAACGAGATGAGATGATTCGATGAGATAGAAAGACAAGTCACACAAGATCCAAGGCTACGGAAGAGGAGGCAGATGCCCTCTTCTTAAAGGGATATCTCTCTCTGGCGTTCAGGGGCACTGCCTCGAGGGTTTCTGTTGTTCCCGTCCTGAGCGTGCGGGGTAAGACAGATCATCCACGCGTGACTTGGTCTATCCATACGTCGCCGTCACAGCCCAAGGTTGCCAGATGAAAGGAAGGGGGTGTGAGTGTGTGTGTTTGGGGAGCGGATGAGGATGTTTGACTGGTGGAAGGGGGGGGGGGGTAACCCAAGCAGCCAAAGTACATCAAGGCGAGGGAGACCATACCCAGGGGAGAGAAGCGCACAAACACTGGCGTCGAATTGTGATGGTGCCCCGTGTGTGGAGGAGGAGGAGGAGGAGTGTGAGCAACACGAGCAGTGGCAGCATGAGGCAGAGGCGGGAGGCGAGAGGCGAGAGGTGAGAGAGAAGTGAATGGTAGGCCCAGCCGCCTGGTGCAACGCTGCGACGTGGAGGGTGGGCAGATGAGTGACGCAAGCGTGGGCTGGTATCGCATTGAACAGAGACAATTCAGAGACCATTCTCTGGCTGAGAGGTCCCCAAGGTCGAGGATTTGCTGTCTGAAGAACATGCCACATAGGAAGCGAACGAGCAGTTGAATCTGGCCACAGCAAGACGAGTCAAGGCAACTCTGGCGCGATGGAGAGGAGCACACAGAGATGAAGCCTAGAGAGAAGTGAAGCAGGAAGAGACAGACGGGATGACCCTGACCGACCGTGCCGTGTTTTCCCCAGACTTTCTCGGTGCACACACATTCACCATACATACACAGAACCTTGGACTTCTGCTGAAGACGGAAGAGGAGGGCCATGAGGCCACCCCACACGAACCATCCAGGTCCAGCCATGTTTATCTTTTAGGTCTGTGTCCCTTTTGTATTGCCTTCTTCTTTGCTTCTTCATTCTCTCACTCTATGAACTCTCTCAGCTTCCATCGCACTCAGGTAGCATGCTAAGCAGCAAAGTGTCGGACTATGTTGCCCTGCTCACTCACCTGTCTACACACCGACGGATAGCGGGGACAGAACAGGGGGCCCAGGCAAACACACTCCACTGAAAGTAGGAAGATGAGCAGCGCTGGAGACGGGAAGGGAGGGGGCCTCGAGCCTGGAAGACAGAGAGGAGCAACGCAAGAGGAGAGGGGGACGAATGGGGGGAAAGGGAATTGCAGCGACGGGGAGCCGTGTTGTGGGGCGAAGTGGAGACCCGCTCAATGGGTGCTCCACAGCGTCCCACTTCCCCAGACGCTGTAATTCTGGGGAAAGGGCAGCGCTAAACCCTTCCAACGTACGAGCACAGAGGAAGCCCCCTCTCCATCTTACGAATTGCACCTACGGAGTAGGTTAGCAGCCTCCCAGTCCCCTTTCCGCCCCCCCCCCCCCAAGTGGGCACGATACCCGTCGGCAACCAGCACATCACCGTTGGTCCACCCTGCCGATTTGCTGTCTCGACGACTTTCCTCGGATTTGATCTCAATTGAAGTGAGAAACATTGAGAGGTTGGCGTGAATACTCTCTTGCAATTCTTATCTAGCTGGTCCCCTTTCGACTAGAATTGGCCACCACAGGCGGAAAAACGCCAGGCACACGACCAACGCGAAATAACCACCACAAACGGAGCTGAGACGGGAATGTCTGGGGGAGAGACCGGTACTTGGTGCAAGGTACCCGACAGTGGGCCCGGGTATGCGCCGGTACTTCCGGAAGATGTAACTTCTCCGTCCCGTCCTAACAAATACGGCTCAGCCCCCAGCCCTCGCACCGAATCGGGTCAAGCGGCATACTCCCTTCCTGCCCTTGGCAAAAGTAAGTACGGAGTAGGTAGTGCCTGCCAACCTGGGGAAGCTCCGCTCACGATGTCCAAAGCGGCTTGGGCTCTACGGGTGCGATAAGCCTTCCTTATCCAACTCGTTGCATCCCAGGCCACTTACATGTGATGGTGAATGCCTGGCGACTTGCGTCTCGATGCCCAACCAACATGTCTAGCAATCCAACGTCGTGTCTTGTTGTCGCTCATCCAAGTATCACAAGCTGCGTCACTTTTCTCAATCTCAGAGCATCATGCTGATTCTACGAAGCTAACATTCAACGGCAGCGCAGGCCACAATCTAGCTCTCTGCGGTCCACAGCTCCCAGAGACCAGTCTGAGGAGCCAGCGTCGAGCTCGACCAATTCTAACCATGAAAAACGAGCAACAAACTAACATACCAAGGGTAAAAGGTATAAGAACAAAACGACCAAAAAAGAGTGTTCCTCTTTGACGGGGGTATCCAGCAGCAAGCGTATATGCGCAATCCTCATTCCAAAGAGACCGCCATCCCACTCCTACGACCTCACCCCAAGGTAGGCATGCAAATAAAGCTCCCAGGCATCAGCTTATCGCAATCCAACCCCTCGTTGGCCTTGAGCAAATCCTCAATCGTCATCTTCTGGCCCTCAGCAATAGCCCAACACGTATTCCCAATCTCAATCTTATACGGCACCGCCAGCCCACCGCACTGCGGCACCGCAACCTCTTCCTCCTCCGCCCCGCCCGACGACGACGAAGACGGCGTACGATACAGCCACCACGTCAAAACGAGTAGGAAAAGCCCAATAAGCACGAAAAAGTTGAGCAGCGGCCTCATCTCGTGCCTCCACCCTTTTCTGTCGTCCCACGGGTTCCGTCGTCGATTGAGCTCGCCGCCGCCGCTGCCACCCGGCATGAAGGGCTCGGCTTCTTCGGCGGAGGCGGATGATGCTCCCGAGACTTGGGTGAGTTGGCCGTATTGGGCGCCGGGCGCGCCTTCCCAGTAGCTTCCGTCTGCGTCTTGGTAGGTGTAGATTTGGGTGTCGGCGTCGTAGCCTACGCGGCGCATGCCATGAGGCAGACGTTCCTCGTCTGTGTCGAGATGGGAGAAGCGTGACATTTTGGTGGTGAGACCTTGTGGTAAAGAGAGGATTGAGACAGGTTGATGTATCGTGATGACAGGGGTTCAGTAAATAAGTATGTATTGGGCAGGTAGTATTTAGAGTTGCCAAACGTCGTTTCGGTCAGAGGATAAAATAAGAAAGAATTGGATGGTAATATGGAAAATGGGCAGCGGACAGCACCATAGAGTAGGACACTGGATGGAGGCAGCTCAGGGGCTGACGATCCAGTTGAGGCTGTGCAACCGCGTCATCGTCCCGCTTATCGTATTATGTCATCAGGGTCCGAGTGTGGCGCCAAGCTGTCCCCGCAAACTGGGCCGTGCACTTTCCCGCCTTCCCGCGTCAATAGAAGGAAACACCACGATACCTTCCTTCCTCGAGCTTTACACGTCGTTTTGAATAACATTCCATGTTCGTGTAAGAGTGCTGTCGACGATGGTGTTTCTTCAAAACTGTTTAGAAGGCAAGTCAGAAGGATGAGTTTGCCGAATTAATTGAGATACATTTACTCGAGAAAAAAGTTAATAAATCTAGACCATATATAATAATGTACCTGAATATAAGGCAAACAAAACTCCAAAAGAGTTCATCACCGGCGTGGCTACATGTCTTGGTGCTCATGCTTCGGTTTCGACTCGTAACTTCTAGCGAGGGCGTAGTTTGATGGTCTTCTATATATATGGCTCGCCCCTAAGCTATCCCACCAAACGGCAGTTTGACCTGACCTCACAAGCCTGTGGGGCGACTGCTCTCGTTGGTGACAGGAATCGAGTTGAGAGGGGGTATAGAGTCTTCTCGTTTATTCTGGTAAGGTGCGTATTCATCATAAACTCAGCTGGTTTGAAAGGTGATTGGATGAAGTTTGGCAGGCACTCTCATATAGGCCATCTCAAACGACTACTTTGCCGTTCATCACCGGTCTCTTAGTGAGAAGCAAAGGTGAAAGGATATAAAAGCGTAGGTATGCGTAGTCGGTTTTATTATGTACGAAACATGGCCGAAGTCCGCTTGTGTTAGAAATGTTGAACTCTGGCTCCCCAATAACACCTACGACCTTGCGCTTTTTTAGATTCAAGTAAGCAAGATTGTGTGATTCCTCACTTGTCGAGCCTGGTCTAGGAGCCAAGCATTAAAGACTTACAAATGATAACCTTTTGGTTCGCAAGTCGGGGGTCTCGGCTTGTAACTCCTATCCAAGCAAAGTATGGCACTATACACTCTCAATTGAGTCTGTTGGAGAAGACTATCATCGGTGTGGCCAATGTCCGTTAGCGGGGTTAACACCGGCGAGTTTGTTCGAATGCGGGTTGCGGCGGACGACGCTCCGCCGTTGCAGCCCCATACGTCGAGGCGGAACTTACACCAAGAAAGGCAACCTACCTCATTCTTGTTTTTTCTTCACTTTTTCTTTACTTTACGGAACAACTAGATCAGGATGTCTCACCAATGACTTCGCTATCGCTTCTCATCACATACAGCGATTGACCAATTACTATGGTGGCTGTCAATTAACGACCTCACCTCTTACACAACGAGATAACCGCGTGGTGGATCGACGGGATTCGCAACCGTAGATCATGGGTGTCTGGCTCCCGGTAGTCCCGTCTCGAGCACCCACGATAGCCATCCGAAGCATGCAATACGACGCAGAAACCCAGTTGTACCGGGCCCGGCCCACCGTCACCAGAGCTGAACTGAATCCTACATCTAATATCTGCTCGTTCCTGCGGGCCTGCCCCTCCACATTATCCCCTTCCTAGATATCCGTCCCCTCGATTTGCGGAGCAGACTAGTCCATAGTCGACCCAGAGACCCAGGCTCCATGAGACATGGCCACATCTGCCCGTGTTCCCGCGACGCCATTGATGGGATTTTAAAGGTCGCTACGTGACAAGCCTTTTCAAAGAGGGGCGCCATGGAAGACGTCGATCCGGCGAGGCGGTTCCGAATATTGACAGCTCTATTGAAGCGGAGTCGAGCTCTGGAACCCTCGTGAATACAAATAAGGCTGGTCATCCCACCGGTTTGACACAAAAGGGACACCAGTCAACCTCCTCATAACTCATCATCGACAGACCTTCAAGATGAAGTCCGCAGTCGCTGGTGCGCTCGCCCTCGCGGCCGCCGTCTCAGCACAGGCGCCCTTGTACGGACAATGCGGTGGCCAGGGATGGACTGGGGCAACGACCTGCGTTTCCGGGTCGGTCTGCACGTACAGCAACCAGTGGTACTCGCAGTGTCTCCCCGGTATTGCTTTCTCTTCAATAACTTTTGCTACAAGAACCCAAAAGACTAATCAGTATCACCAGGTTCCGCCGCGACGACGACCTCCCGCTCCAGCACTCTCGCGACCTCGACCCGCGCGGCAACCACCTCGTCCGTCGCCGCTACGTCCCGGACGTCCTCGGCCACGACCCCACCCAGCACCGGCTTCCCCAAGGCCGTCGGCACCAAGTTCAGCATTGATGGCGTGGCGAAGTACTATCCCGGCACCAACTGCTACTGGTGCAGTTTCCTCACCAACGCGGCCGACGTGGATCTTGTCTTGGGTCATCTCAAGACTTCTGGTCTCCGGATCCTTCGTATCTGGGGTTTCAACGATGTCAACACGATCCCGCAGTATGATAACTGTATGGAATATTTCTAGACTTTTTCGTTTTTCGGTTTATATCTGCAGAAGGCTAATGACTGTGTAGGGTTCCAATACTTGAGTGCGTCAGGTTCGCAAATCAACACTGGCGAGAACGGTCTCGGACGCCTGGATACCGTCGTCGCTTCCGCTGAGAAGAATGGCATCAAGCTTATCATCAACTTTGTCAACAACTGGTGAGTTCCTCCCCAAACATCCCCTTTGAGGCAATATCTGACGTAGTCCCAGGAACGACTATGGCGGAATCAACGCCTACGTCAACGCCTTCGGAGGCGACCACAACGGCTGGTACACCAACACGGCGGCCCAGACGCAGTACCTCAAGTACGTCCAGACCGTGGTCAACCGGTACAAGGCGTCCCCCGCCATCTTCGCGTGGGAGCTGGCCAACGAGCCCCGCTGCCAGGGCTGCGCGACCTCCGTCATCTACAACTGGGCAAAGTCCACGTCGGCATACGTCAAGTCGCTGGATCCTAACCACATGGTGACGCTCGGCGACGAGGGTATGGGATTGCCCGGCGACACTTCTTACCCCTATCAGTATGGTGAGGGAACGGACTGGGTTGGTCTGTTGAACATTACTACACTGTATGTTGCCCCCCCTTGAATGTGGTCTCCGTGGTGGTGTTTGTGATGCTGATGATTGATTTTCGCTTAGGGACTTTGGAACGTTCCACTTCTACCCCAACTCATGTAAGTCTACCCGCAATAATGAGGTATCACCAAAAGGTCACTGACGGATTATAGGGAGCGTTGGGTACGACACTGGCGCCAAGTGGGTGGCTGACCACGCGAAGGCCTGTGTTGCCGCGAACAAGCCCTGCTTCTTTGAAGAATGTAAGTCACAAGCAAGATACAAAAGATTTCATGAAGAAGCGAATGAGGGGGTAGAAGCTGATTGAAATCTCCAAACAATAGACGGCGCGCCATCCGACCACTGCACGATCGAGAGACCATGGCAAATCGCCTCCGTCGCCACCGCAGGCATGGCTGGTGATGCTTTCTGGCAGCTGGGTGACACGATTAGCACCGGCCAGTCGCACAACGACGGTAACACTATTTACTACGGCACCGACGAGTGGACTTGCTTGGTCACGAACCACGTTGCCGAAACCAACTAGGCTTGACAAGTGTAGTTCTCGTGTGAAGATGTAACGGTCTGTCTTGACGTGAGAGTTGCTGTTGTCTGGCTGAACCCGTAAATAGCCTTCAGTTCGTTGTATATATTGAGCGAAGAATTCGAAAAGTTTGGACTTTTTGCGACGAGTAAAGCTGCCTACTTGATGAGAAGAATCCTTGCTTATATTTCAAGACTGAAATACCTTCTAGTCAAAGAGGGCTTTCTTCTTAACAAGCCAAGGTACAGGTGCCTTTACAAACTTTTACGTTGAAAAACGGGAATAGAATGGCTATCAGGCGCTTCCAAAAGCTAGGGACCCCTCACAGACCTAAGACTCTTTAATGTTCGTCCTCAACAGATCCTTCACAACAATAACATCCTTCCACGAAACTAACTCGGGAACATCCCAATTCACCCACACCATCCGCCCATTCAGAAATGCCGCCTCCTCCGAAGCACTCCACACTACAAAGTCACCCGCTAATTTCCCGTCCGTCATCTTTCGCTTCAGTCCAGACTTGACCAACAAGGCCGTCTGCACTGCGCCAGGGTGAACAGAGATAACGCGGGCCTCGGACGCCGGGACATCGTCTGTAATCACCTCCGCCAGGCGTAGCATCGCGACCTTGCTTGCGCCGTAGCTGCTCATACCGGGTATATGGAAATCGTACGCCGCCTTCGTGTTGATGTTGATTATAACTCCCGGCTTGCCATCAGCAGCTCCGGTCTGTAAGCCCCTACGGTGACGCAGATACGTCTGCGTCATAAGCCCCGTACCAAACACATTCGTCGTGAACCCCTGCCACCAATCCTTCAAATCCGCATCGACGAAGCTCACCGGCTCGGAGAGGTACCCGGCATTATTGACAAGAACATCGGGGGCGCGGTCCAGGCTTGCAAAGAGGGTTGCTACATGCTCCGGGGAGGCGACGCTTCCCATGTGGAGGGAGACTTCTAGGTTGGGAAAGTCTGCTCGGAGAGCGGCTGCTGTTTGGTGGAGGTTGGACTCGGTGCGGCCGGTGAGGATGAGTTTTGCGGCGTTGGCTTGGGCGAAGCTGCGGGCTGTGGATGCGCCTATGCCGGAGCCGCCGCCGGTGATAAGAATTGTTTTGGCGGTGAATTGGCTGCGGAGGAGGTTGGGGGACAGTTCGGGGTAGGGTTCGTAGTGTTCTGTCTTGATGAAGGATGCCATGGTGATGAAGAGACTATCTGATGTGGCTTTCTTTTCTGAAAGGAAAAGAAACGGAACGCTGACGTGGTTATGGCGGTCTATTCTAGGAGAGCGTTTCTTAAAGAAAGAGCATTACTTGACCTGCCGAGTAGAAGTCATCGACTTCATACTTGACCAAAATACTTTCAAGAAATGGAACGCAGGTGCACTCGTCTCACTTGACGTTCACTCAAGGTTGTGGCTTACCAAGCACATTAGCTACATCCCCCAACCTTTAGAACAGCATACAATAGGATGCATCACTACAATGGGAAACCTAAGACGGCGCTTTCAGAAGCTGAAGACTGTAGCTCTCGGACTACATCGGAAAGTAAACTGCAACGTCGTTTTTGAGTCGCACTCACGATTCTGCATAGTAAGTGACGTCGAGGTTGAGGAGGTCCGAAGGGAGGTCCGTGTCTGCGTAGCTCTTGCATGTGTTGAGATGAGTTTACTTCAAACTCAAAAGAACTCGGGATGAAACCCAGGCCTTCATGTGTGAGGGGGAAGTTCAACATGCCCCAGGCTAGGCTGTTCATTCCTTGAGGCTCCAGACCAGTTGATATCCGACGGAGGTGAGCCATAGAAGAAGGGCTGGAAAGATTTGCCAAGCTTGGCATCTTATTAAAATTGGCCCTTAAATTTCTAGAATTTCAATCTCCGTGAAATCTGAAGGATCCAGTACCGGTTCACTCTGCCCGAATGAGTAAATCCCGTACATGACGCCACAGAAAGCACCTCCTACGGGAGGAAATACTGTCAATGCCTCTGACTTGAATATCTTGGTAGTCGTAATCCCATCGACCGAGAGACTCATCTCATAGTCGGAGGACCTCGCCGTGATGGACAGTTTTACCGGCTGATTTAAATTAAGGGCGGGTATTGCAGAATCCAATAGGGGGTGTGCCACCTTGAAACATTAGAAAGAACGCCGAAAGCTATCAAGCGGCCTATAACGTACCTTGAGCTTATTGACCTTGCCCGTAGGCTCCCTCGTGATGATTGTCGGGACGGCGGATCCTCCATCTTGTGGTTGAACAGCACCAATGCCAATTGTGGCATAGGAGTACTGACTCCACCACACGGTAACGCCAGATTCATACCCTGCCCGGCTGGGTTTGAAAAGCATTGTAGCCTTGAAACCCTCGCTGTATGACGTCTGCTTCCTCAAGATCATTGCCGGCGATTCGGGACTATTGAGATCGAAGCAGTTCCCGTAGAGTCTCAGGCAGCCGGGGCGTTCTATCAGGCTGTGGCAGGGCTTGATAGGCGTATCTAGAAGGATGAAATCAGCTTCAGCTCTGGTACTCGGACTTTCCCACTCACTCTTGTGATACCAGCCAATTTCCAGGGATGATCTGGACAGGTCTGCCTTCCACTTGACTCCGTCAGCATCAGCAGCGGCGGCCTTTCTAATATCCTCCCTGCCAACGGTTTGAAGTGTGATGTTGCGACCCTTGTTGAAGATGGGCCAATCATCTACCCAGTCAACCTGCACCAGAAACGTCTCTCGGCCCATCTGCGGCTCAAGGTATTTATCCTCAACCTTCACGGGCCGTACACCGAGCAGCACAGCCCACCATTTTCCCTTGCCATCTTCAAAGACGTCGCAGTGGCCGGTCCTCTGCACCTCCTCCTCAGGCCCGTTATACCACAGAGCTTTGCCCTGCCCCTCCCACGGCCCATACGGCCCTTTCTGGCTTCTGAAAACCCACTCTTGGTGGCCGGCTTCTGTGCCGCCTTCGGCGGTGAAGAGGTAGTAGTGCTCTCCCCGGCGGATGATGTGTGATCCTTCTGCAATTCCGTGTGGGGATTCACGGATCACTTGTGGCGGGGTGAGGGTTCTGCCTGTAGTAATGTCGATTTCTGAAACGTGGATGGCAAAGTCTTTTAGTTTGAGGCCTGGAGTTCGCTTTCCCATGCGGACTGTTGTTGAGAGGTAGACCTTTCCGTCGTCGTCCCAGAAGAGCTAAAATTGCCATCAGCTGTGTACGTGTCAGTATGAAAGCGGCCACTCACATCTTGATCGAATCCGGGATTGTCAAAGTATACGGGATCTGACCAGGAGTTTTCATCCCAGATGTTATCCGTCCAAACATAGAATCCCCTAGGGAAGATGCGCTCCTACGAATTCTCATGAGTATTGTCTCAGAATTTCAGGCATGGTCTTTACTCACATCATTCGCGGGTCGATATCTCTGAAAGAGCCCGTTGGCGAGATACCAGCGCTTCTCCTGAGGCCGATAGCGCAGCGTGCTTGCCCAGCTTCCAGCGCCAGGCTCGACGGTCCTCAGCTCGATCTGGCTTCTGCGCGTGAGTGCGTGCCCGATGAGCTTCCAGTTAACGAGGTCTACTGAGGTGTATATGGCGCAGCCTGGGAAGTACTCAAAGGTGGAAGTAGATAGAAAATACGTCGTCGGGGTTGAGTCTGTTGGCGGAACTACGCAGATTGTTGGGTCTGGGTTGAAGCCTTGGATTATGGGGTTGAGGAAGATTGGTCCCTCTTCTTGAGAGGTCATTTCGACGATCTCCGATGAGAATGATGGTGTGTCTCAGGTAGGATGGCAGTGCCAAGAATAGGATTGTAGTTGGTTGAAGAATCCCTGAATCTGTGACTTGAGAGCTTTCCATCCAACAGCTTGTTGGTTCTTGTTGGTGCTCACCGGCGGTTGAGCTCGGCTTAAGTTTCTCCAGCAATCACAGATCGCCCCCGGCCGGAGGATGAGATCTCCACTTGGCAGGTGGAGTCCTTCGCTGCCGCTCGACACGGCCGAAGCCGATGATACTAGTCCGCCGGAGCTTGGGAGCCAGAGGCCGCAGCCGTGATGTTGCATTCACAAATGAATATCAACAGCCAATCAATCTAGCCTTTCGAGCGAGGGCAGATGCAATTCCTTCTTCGTCTCTGAATTGCATCTGAGTCAGGAAATGGAACGAGACAGCCCGGACGAAGCTGTTTAAATCTCGCGGTTCTCCTCTTGCTTTGCGCCTTGCATACAACACAGACTAACACTAATATCAAAGCCATCTGGAGTGGCATAAGCCGTTCACATCGTATCTTTTTGCGCAGTCCCAACAGTCGTCAACCACTTCGCCTTGCGAATACAGAAGAACTCCAACTTTGGCTTCCACAGCTCGACGCCATCCCCCTCCACGCCCTGCACGTCATCCATCGTCCCGGACGTGACGGCTATCCGGCCGGGGTCCTTCTCGCTGACGACGAACAGCGAAGAGCCGCACGCGCCGCAGAATGAGCGCTCCAGCGAGTTGCCCGAGTCGGATGTGCCGGCCTTGTAGACCTTGATCTTCTTCTCCGGGTCTTCAACCGTGAGGTTCTGAAAAAATTGGATAATTGGTTAGAAATTGATAGCTGGAATCTTGAAATGCAGGTATCTTATCGTACCTTTGTCTCGACTAAGCTGTTCGCGCCAAAGGACGAACCCGTAAATTTGCGGCAGCTGTTGCAGTGGCAGACAACTCCGAATCCGAATCCGCCGGCAACGGTGTACGTGACCGAGCCGCAGAGGCAGCCGCCGGTAACATTTGTTGGTGTCTGACCGGTCATGATTGTCATTGAATATCAAAGCAAATGTAATTGGCTACGGGCGCTCGATGGCGAAAAACTGAACGCAAATGTCGTGATGCGGAATTCATTTTCTATTATAGTAAGTCGATTCTTCTCTTTTAGGGTGTAAAAACTGTCGAAAGTGCCAGGTTCATCTCGCATCTTCCATCCCGTCTCACCGCCAGTGATAATCTAACCCACAGATCGTGTCCCATCCGGCAGGCAGCCTTTTTCATGCAAGTAAGCGCCGCCAGCTGGTGTCGATCTCTTTAAAGTGCGACGCCTCACAGTAACGGAAACAAATCGTCAAATCGTACGTGACCTTCGTGAGACACAAGATGAGGGGGAAAAGTCGGCGCTGAATGCATCAAAATGCATCAATCCGAAAAGGGACAAAAGAGGCAGAGCAAACAATATGCTGAGAGAATGTCAAAAGCGGCCTGTTGGTTCAGGTGCTCGTCCACTCATCTTACCCCGTACTATCTCTCAATCGAGACATGGACCTATATCTCATTCAGCCCTCAGCCGTGGCTGAATTGAGGGCGTGTCAGTGGTTCAAAGGCCCGATATAGTGCTTCACTCCCCTCTCATTTTTGCCTCATCTTCAACATGCTGAGCTGAGTATCATGAATCGAGTATCATGGCGTCTGAATCGTCAAAGCCGCCAACCGCCGCGAAGAGACGGGCGAGGCTCCAGAAATCGTGCACCGAGTGTTAAAGGCGAAAGCAGAAGGTGAGTTGACCAAGAATCCAACACAGATCAACACCAAGTCACCCGCCATGGAACGGTATCACATGCCCAGGAACGACCCGAACCTGATCACTTGAATCCCACCGAGTTCATGCGAGACTGAAAGAATGGACATGTCATAGTGCATAATCCGACAGCCTGAGACGCAGTGCGTCAACTGCTCAAGGCGGTTCCCTCCCGTGGAGTGTACCATTGTTCAACTCGGGCCCTGTCTCCCAAAGCCGGTGTACGAAACACAGGTCCTCACCTTTGACCTGTCTTCGCTTTCCCCGAAATCGGAGAAGCAGACAGAGGTGACCTCACACGGTCCCTGTGTCACTTCGCTACCCGGTATCGCGTCCTTGAAGTTACCCGGTAGACTGCCCGTTCGAAATCGCTGCAGGGAGCAGATCAGGTCGAGATACCTCGAGGGCCATGATCACGCACGCCTTGGAGGAGACTGCTGTAAGGATAATCGTGAAGAGGAGAGGGCCGTGTCAAAGGGCCAGGCTCGCGCCAACCTCTTTCTCGATGGAGATGGAGACCCCCAGGCCTTCTTCCACAATGGTATCGCATCCATCGGTGGCATCCTCACGGAAGTTACGACGCTTCACGGCATGCCACTCCCGGAAGGGCCCAGGACGACGGAGCTTTTACATTTCTGTGAGATCACCAGTGCCATCAATCACCTTTGGAGCATCGATGGCTGACGGATCCTCCCACAGACGTTCACTTTGTCGCACCCAACATGGTGTCAATTGATGGCCGGAGTCAGCCACCCGTGTTCCTCAAGGAGGTTCTGCCTTGGATGCTGCAATCCCCTCTGTTTCCCAACATCGGCATCCTCATGTCCTCGATGACCCAGTCGCTGGAGCGAGGAACGGAAGTGGCAAAGAGCCCTGAGTCGCTCGCCCTCAAGTCCTGGGTTCTGTCGATGATTGCGGACTACATGCGGCGACCGTTCGACGCTATCGCGGTTGAGATGGTCCGGTGCATTGTGAATCTGGTCGTCATGGAGGTGAGTGCAGCGTCTTGTCCCGGTGACAGCTTTGTGGGCCATTCCCAACGAGAAGCTGATTTTCCTCTCAAAGTGGTTTTGGGGTGCCGACGAGAGCATGTTTGCTCACATGAGAGGCATCAAGCGCATGATCAAACTCCGTAAAGGCATGCGAGGGCTGAGAGACATTGTAGGCGAATCGATCATAATTCTGTAAGTTCAATGAGTTCGTGTCCAAGCTTAAACCAATTCGTAGGTACTGATACCCTCTGAAAGGACTGATTATGAGATTGCTTGTGCCTTTGAGACGGATCTCTACTGGTTAGAGAACGACCCAGCGCGTGACGAAGAGATACCTGTCCCGACGACCTGGCCAGACTGCTACGACAGCCCCTTACTGGCGTCCGCACCGCGATTCGAGAGTATCGCAGAGAAGCTCGGCATCTGCGGCGCGACGGCCAAGATTCTAGACGACGTGCGGTTCCTCACGGATTCCGTCACATCGGCGTCGGCGATGGCGTCGGCGGCGAGCAAATCAAAGATTCGATCAACCGCATCGTGGCTATACGATAAGCTGCGGGAACAAGGCACAGCAACGGCAGCAAGGAGACCCACACAAGTCGCCTCCTCCTCCTCCGAAAAGGAACGGATCCTCGAGACCGTCAGGATCGCCACCGTGATTTACAGCTGGTCCATCAAGTCACTGCGCCAGATTTCGCGGTTCGACGACGCCGAGATGCTCCAGGCGGCATACGCCAGCCTGACGAGCGTGAGTATGACGACGTGGAAGGGGATCCCGGGAATCTTCCTCTGGGTGATGCTGGTGGCGGCCCCGAACGCCGCGGCGGATGCCAAGGGCAGGTTCGTGAGGAGGAAGATGGCCGTGACGGGGTTGTCGATCGGGTTCGAGGACTTTGCATTGGGGATATCGTACCTCAAGGCGTTTTGGGGCGTGCAGCGGTGGATCGCCAGGGAAGGGGGCGGCGAGGGCGAGGGCGCTGGGGTGCAGAGGCTGGAGGATAAGTGGTCTTTTGGGTCTTGGCCGGGAGTGTCGGTATAGTTCGCAGGAGTCACGAGAGTCACGAGAGCATCATACCCTCGCAGGCTTGCGCGTTGTGTCGTTCTGGCCCCGGGTGCTGGGTTGCGGACTTGCGGTACGGGATAGCCTACGGGATATCCGTACGGAGCCGAGCACGGGATAGGGGAAGGATGGAGAAGAGGGGGGGCGAGCTGATCCTGCGGCGTCACGAAGACATCAGATGCTTGAATTGTCTGACATTTGAACGATGGGTTTGCTGACCGATCTTTGGGGTTTGCTTCTTCATTTTGTTGGGTTCCAGTCTGTTGGTGGCGCAGGCAGAGAGATACAACGCACATGATCACAAAAGGCAAATAGACTGATGCTCGTTCTGAGCTTCTGCCACTCTGGTATCAATGAGTGAAGGCATGGACTAGGGGTGAGTAGGGATGAGGAGGGATCAAGGAGGGACGAGAAAGGGATGAGCAGCTCGGATTTCCTAAAGGAGCAATCCGGTGGACCGGGACCGCATGCGCAAAGCAACACTGCACTCCGCATTTCTCCCCCGGACGCAGCTGTCTCCCCCACCGCTCGAAACTCTCTCCCTTGCCGTATTAGTCTCTGTTTGGTTGACATGCGCAGTCCAGGTGTTTAGCGTGCGTAGTAGTGGCTATCTGGATAGGTTTCCGCCGCCCAGGTAAGGTTACTCAGGTATCTGTGAATGTTGGTCTGGACTCTGGAAACTCAGAGGCAGGGATGATAATGGGGGTGGATATGAGTTCTGGACCCTACGTTGCAGTTCAGACCCTGTTCAGGTCCCTTGATTTTTTTTTTCTGTCCCATTCTTACGAAGCTTCACGATACAACTCTGAGTCTCTGACAGTCTGAGTGCTCAAGAAACCAACATCCGCAGTTCCGTCCCAATAGTGTGGTGGCTGTGACCAGAGATGAGTTTGGGAATGAGAAATGGAGCCAAGCCCCACGAGAGCCTTACCAAACCTCTTCTCAGAGATTCAGAGAAACAGAGCTCAGACATGTCGGGGGGTCTCGCAGCCCAACGGGTGGTAGTTGAATCGACCATTTTCCGTTTCATGCCAGTGAAAACTTGAAAAAGTGGTGGATCGTGATGTGGTTCTTTCGGTAAACCAACCGATTTTCCGCACCGCGGGCAGCCGGTTGAGTTTCCGCCGCGAGCGGAGGGGTCCAAAGGTGGAGTATTCCCGATTGCCCGCCCCCATGTTCCCATGTTCCCATGTCTTTCCCCCAAGCAAAGACTAGACCCTCACGCGGGATCGCGTCCAACTGCTTTCCCGGAGCTTTTGGAAGCAGTTTTAGAACCAGGGAACCGGGGGGAGTCCACGCAGAGACATAGAGACACGGGAACACGGGGGCAAGGCGGGGGCGTTCCAATCTCTATTCTGAAATCTGACATCCCGCATGACCTGTCTCGGACATCGCAGACCCATCTTTGAAGGTTCTAGCCCTCGATGAGAGAGAAGTCTGGAGCTCCATTGCTGCACATGCTGCCCATGGCATGCAACGAAACGTACCCGCCGGCGTGGATGAACAAACCTTAGATTTGCAGGTCCCGCAGAGACTCCAACGAGCAGCAAAAAAACAGTGGTGCTAGGGGTTCCGTTTCTAAGAAAAGATGAGGCGAAGGGAGCTTCGAGCTTGATACCGCACACTAGACACTGCAGTATCTGTTACCGGTAACTTGACGGCACACGAGCGAGCCCGACGTCTCGTCACCAGTCCATTTCCGGAACCGGCAGAGCGATAGCTACGACCTAGTATAGACAATCCTAGACAGCTCACCATAACGCAAGCTCCCCCGTCAGTCCAATCCCATCCCCTTGTTCCTTCGCCCGTCACGGCCGGCGCTAGCCCGTTGGTTGCTAAAACGGATGCTCATTGTTGCTCGGGATTGCTGATCTTGATCTTGCCATAGCCCATGGGGGCGTGGGCCAAGGGTCATGGCATGACGGGAAGAACTTAGACGGTGAGGGGGTGTGAGAGGCGTGGGAGGCAATGGGACGAGACGTGGGTGCGGGGAAGCTCAGCCCATTGGGAAAAGGGTGGAAGGTAGAGCTCGACGATGTATAAGAGGAAGACTTCACGATGGTGTCCTAACCTCCTAGTCTCTCTTCACTATCACACACACACTTTCATCGTCATCACTCCTCTCGTCTTATAGACAACAAGCAAGCTATACCAGAATTTCATCGATTTTCAACCATCAACCTATTTGATCCAGTACACCCTCCCATCTCGGCCCGTCTTAGTCTTAATTAGCATCAACCACCTCCGTCATCAAACCTACCTCTCACGGAAACAACCGCAGCAACCTCTTGATACTTGAAGAAGCCAACAAGAAGGCCTCTTTCCTCCCATCATCCTACCCAGAAAACTCCACCAAAAACACATCAGAAGAAAAATGTCTCCCGCAGCTCTCGTTGAAGCCGGCAGCAACATGTCACGGTACCTAACCCGCGTTCGGCCACTCCGTCTCATTGGACCTCATCTGACCCCAAGGAAACTTCCCAGACTCGCAGTGCAGCCCGTCGAAGCCCCCGTCGTGGCACCCGCAAACCCCCTCGTCGCGCAGGAGAGGAGCTTCAACTCGACCCCCAAGTCCCTCGGCCTCGGCGCCACGACCCCCCAGGTCGCCCGCGGCCTTCCCGAGTTCAGCCTTCAGGGCAAGGTCATTGTCGTCTCAGGCGGCGCGCGCGGACTCGGCCTCACACAGGCTGAGGCTCTCCTCGAAGCTGGCGCAATAGGTAAAACACTCGACTCTTCTAACAATCTCTAACTTTCTTTCCCTCTCTATTTTGAGAGAGAGAGAGAAAGAGAGATATTCTCTAGATGTCTCATACACCATTTGCAAAGTTCAAGACTAACACCAACCTCTTAGTCCACGCAATCGACCGCCTCCCTACTCCTGACCCCGACTTTGAAAAGGTCGCCCTTCGCGCCACCGCCGAGCTCGGCACCTCCCTCTCCTACCACCAGGTCGACGTCCGCGACGTCGCCCAGCTCAACGACATCGTCGAGGGCATCGCCAACCAGCACGGCCGCATGGACGGCCTCATCGCTGCCGCGGGCATCCAGCAGGAGACCCCCGCGCTCGAGTACAAGGCCGAGGACGTCGACCGCATGATGGGCGTCAACGTCACCGGCTCCTTCATGACCGCCCAGGCTGTCGCGCGCCAGATGGTTCGCCTCGGCACCGGCGGCAGCATCGTGTTGATTGCCAGCATGAGCGGTACCGTTGCCAACAGGGGGTTGATCTGCCCGTAAGTCTTACACAACGACAAAGCTGATTTCCACCAGAAGAGTTACGGATTGACTGACACTGCTACTATAGCGCATACAACGCTTCCAAGGCCGCCGTCCTGCAGCTCGGCCGTAACCTGGCCGCTGAATGGGGCGCCCACGGCATCCGCGTCAACACCATCTCGCCCGGCTACATCGTCACCGCCATGGTCGAGGCGCTCTTCGTGGAGTACCCGGAGCGTAAGGTCGAGTGGCCCAAGCACAACATGCTCAACAGGCTCAGCCAGCCCGCTGAGTACCGCGGCGCCGCCGTGTTCCTGCTCAGCGACGCCAGCAGCTTCATGACGGGCAGCGACCTGCGCATCGATGGCGGACACTGCGCCTGGTAAAACCCTTGGGACTGGCTGGAAAAAGGAAAAGCGGGGTTTAATGATTGTTTTTTGGGTCTTTTGATGATTAGTCGTTAATTATTTCCAAAGACTATGGAGTTTGGGAGCTTTTGCGGTTTTCGTAGAGCAGTATACCTATAATTACATTTTTTATACACCTTCAACACATTTCATCAACCAACACTTTCTCGTGAACGCGAATGCCACACTCAAGCAGGCGACGTGATCCCAATCCGTCCCAACCTTGCCACAACCCCAGCCTTCAGATCCAATCTTGCCTCAATCTCAGCGGGCGAGTGTCCCCTCTCGCGCATCAGGTGCATTTGAATAATCGTCTTCAGATCCAGAAACTCCCTCCCGCCGCTGCTACTGCGTCCGAGGCCGTCAAACTCGGCATCGGCTTCCTGCTGGAGCCGGCGCCTGGCTTCGAGGGTGCCGAGCGTCGCGTTGCGGGATGTAGAAGGGAACAAGGGTCCCGGGTTCTGGATTAGGTCGGCGTGAGGACTCGGGCCGGGGCGGGCGCCTGCGACGGGATCGGGGCCGGCGCTGGCTGTTGATGTGGAGGAGAAGGTTGGGTTCGGCTGGACGATGCCCATTTGGCGGAGGCGGGAGGAGAATTCGGCGGTGACTTCGGGGTTTGTGGTGGTTGTGGTGGCTGTGAGATCTGGGTCGTCAAGGTCAGCTGTGGGGTCATGATTGATCGAGAAGTTCAGTGTGTAAAGGTCGGAACTGACCTTCTGGTTTGAGTGTCGCCGTCTTCGCCTGTGACTGGGCCTGCGCGGGCTGCGTCGGAGGGGCAGCGGGAGCTGCTCTCGCGGCGGTTGACGGTGGTGGTACGGCGCCCGGAGCCCGGGTCGGGAATTTGCGCGCGGCGCCCTGCGCGGCTTTTGAAGAGGATGATCCCATTGTGTCGAATCTGGTTCGTGAAGTGGCGGTGAGTAGGTGGGCGGGAAGTTGAGGGAAGGAAACGGAAGGGTCGAACGGGAGAATTGGCGAGGAAGAGAGAAATGCGACCAGGGAAGCTCGAGATTCTTTGCGGCAAACGATAGAATCCTTATCGATAAGAATGACAGGGACCATGACGCATCCATTCGATCCATTCTGGGGTACGTTTTGTAAGATGAGTTTGGTCGTGTCTGATTGGCCAATTCACCGACTTCTCACGGAGCTCTCGGTGTGGTCCTCGGTCAGCCTTCGAGCCAGACATCAAGAAATGGTCTATGATTTCCCTTCTTCAAAGAGCCAACATAACCAATATAAGCTGATCTCATCATATATCAATTCCACCAACTACCTTCTGCTCAAATACGTCCCAGTATCTTCATTGCAATGCGTGAGGTTCCTTCAACTCTGACGAAGCGATAGCGGTCGTGTTCTTCTCCGTTGCGATCGGGCTCACACCTTCGGTAGCAATGTAAAGATCCATCACCTTGGGTCCAGGATAATGATGGACCGCGTGGACCGCCCACCACAAACCCGTGATTGCCACCGTTCCCACCAAGATGACAGCACTCCAGTTCATCGTCGCTACTGTCGTGGGCAACACGAACGCTGATGATCTCGTTAGGGCAAGGCCAAGGTTTTTAGAACTAACAGACACTTACGGAAACAGAACATGATGTCGAACAAGACAATGAACAGTACCGCCAGTCCGTTGATGATGTATCCCGCCTTACCCAGGTGGAAGGGTCCACGAGGGAAGTATTTTCGCCCCGAGAGCATGTTTGCCGCGAACGGGATGGCATATGACACGGATGTCAGGATGATGAACGAGCTTGCAAGTGCTAGGAATGCTGCCGAGCTTCCGAGCGGTATGGCACCTAGACCAGTTGCGACGACACCTGAGTATCCATGTTAACCTGTAAATAATTGAGGTTGGGGAAGAACGGGATCACGGTGACGTACAGACAAACAAGGTTGACCAGACAGGACAACTCAGACGCTCGTTGACCTTTGCAAAAACGTTTGACAAGGGCACGGCGTTGTCGCGTGCAAGCGCCCAATAAGTTCGCGAAACCTGAGAACAACGTCAGCAACTAGAACCTCACCAGCTCATGTGGATGTCGTCTCACCGTCAACGTCAAGCCCACGCAACACGTCAGCGTACAGCCCAGCATGATGAACAGGAGACCAAACGCTGCGCCTGGGTTCCGGATTCCATTGCTGTTCGTTGTAGCTTGCACGTAAATGTTGGTCAGCGGGAATGAGTTGAAGCCGCCTTGAAGAGCTGTAATGTCCGTGATAGCGTACGACAGCGCGACGGCGAAGCAGAAGGCATCTATCGATAGTCAGTTGTGGGTTCATCATTGCTGCAAAACGCTCACTAACAGACGAAGCCCAGGGAAATCTGCAATAGGATCGCCTTTGGAAGGTCCTTTTTCGGGTGCGGCATCTCTTCAGCCATATGCGTGACCGAGTCAGGAGTTCCAATTGTAAAGGCGCCGTTAAGAACACCCAGAAGAAAGGCAACGCCCCCTGACCACCCTGTAGCGTTGTTCTCATCGAAAGAGCCCCATACAAAGTGATTACTCGCATGTTGCTTCGGCATCGCTGCCAGAACGATGATGGTGATGACGCCGCCGATCAAAACAAAAATTGTTCCGGCTTGCTGAGTGTACGGAGCATACTTGTTGGCAAAGACAACGAAGCCCGCGCACCCCCAGAGGATGATGAGGTACCCGATGAAGACGTGGAAGGGCTGGCTGACGTATTTATCCCAGTTCCAAACGGCGTACATGCTCACTGCAACATTGCTCGAGATCTGCAGCAGGGCCGCGAGCGAGAAGAGCCAGCCGTAAAAGTTGATCCACCCGGTGAAGAAACCGAGGACTCGGCCCCAGCGAGGGCCGCCGGCGATGGTGGCCCAGTGATAGACGCCGCCCGCAGTGGGGACTGATGAAGCGAGCTTGGAGAAAGGTATCAGGCTTCGTGATTCAAATTGTTTTGGAAAACGAGAGGGGTGGTTGCAAGAACTGGGATAAGAGAAGACAAACCTCTGATAAACTCAAGCCGATAAGGGAGTAGTAAAATACGGCGACAAGGAGGCCGTAAATGATGCCGGGTGGGCCACCGTTGACTAGATTGATCCCGGTTCGTTACAATGTCCGGCTTGCAAACAATAGGCGTCTAGTTAGTAAAACTTACGAATTGACACAGAGATGGACGATCCCAAGGCGACCCAGGCGTTGTCCACCGTCAGAGCCATGCTTGCCAGTCCAAAGAAACCATATTGGCGATTCAATTGATCCTTGTAGCCCGCGGCGTTCAAGCGGACTCCATCTTGTACGGCGACTACGGTCTCGTCATCGGACGTAGACGCCGACTCGACAACTCTATCCCGTGCAAGAAATGCCTTCATTGCAGCTCTTTACAACTAGAAAAATTAATTGCCTGTAAACGGCCGGTGCAAAGAGGCGTGGAATGAGCGATATCGAAGCGCGGATACCACTCAAACAGTGGGAGCGCTAGAAACGCTGGAAAACGAAAGGGTGAGAAAGGAGGAAGATCAAATTCGAAACGGAAAGCAAGACAGTAACAGTCCGACGCAAGACGCCTGTGAAATGTGACACAACGGACGAAATATGTAGGAAATCGAGGAGGCAGACGATAAGACGGTCTTGGTGGGTGACATTGTGCTTCTAATACGCCATGTCTTGGGACGGAAGAGCTGCAACTGGACCATCTCTCGCCCACTGGCTAGCAATATCAGATAACACTTGTGCGACGGCCATAGGTACGGATTTGGCGTCGCATTCAACAACCGACTTGTCAGCCTGCACAAGCGCCGGTTCTGCATATCAGAAAAGGGATGCCTCGGAGGGCTAGACATGTTCCATTGAGCTAGGCATGCTGCGAAACACCCTGCCCAGGGTCTTGGCTACCAAAAGAAACGCGCTGGCAAACTGTTTCTGAGGATTCCGGTCGTCTCCAAACTAGAGCCATTGTACGCTACGCGATACGTGGAACGGGCCGTCCGATCTCTAACTCACGACGTTGTTCGATCTTCTTTGGTCCACTTCGAGGAGCGAGCGGATCATAAGGCATATCGTGCAGTCTGGAGAGATAGAGGGGAAGATAAGTCGAAAAGGGAGGCCGAATATTGGCAAATCGCAGCTCACAACATTGGGTGGCTGGGTAAAACAGATACATGCGTGAAACGCTCAAGCCGCGAGAAGTAAGCTTTCTCAGGGGCGATGCCGAGTGGCTTGAACGGCCCAGATCATAGATGGGGCCCCCTTGGATGCCGGCGATCTCAGTGGGAGCAGCGACCAACCCCATGGCCAGTCCACGTGTGGCTGGCTAGGGAAAACAGCCGAGGCGCATTGTCTAAGGAGTACGGATACCTATAGATGAGATGCTCATCGAAAACGCCCCTCTGCTTCATGCCAGGCTTGCTGTTGTAAAGTTCGCGATGAAACCCGTGCTCTGGAATTCCGTTTTGGTTGAGTATTGAAGAATTGATCCAATTTATCTTCCATCGACAGATGGGACAGCGGGCGATGTGACGATGACTGCTTGTACCAAGTGTAGCCGAGACGGCCTATTCCGCTCTTGGATTTCGTATATGATGGAGGCCCTTGTCTGAAGCAAGGAGGCTGTAGCTAGTAAAGGTGGACATGCTTGTCTCACTGCTGCCACGCAGACACAGATGGAAGAGGTACGGGTAGTACCTAGAGAGATAAGATCCAGGCCCGGTTGCCTGCTAGTCTTCGCCCGATGGCCGACCATGAGCTTTCGGGTCATTTCATTGGCAAGTCTTGGCAAGGTGATGGGTGGTAGTAGAGTTCCAAGTGCTGACCACTTGTTGAATAATTGTGCTTGGATCCGCGCAACGGCGATTAGCAAGACCTGAGAAATCTTTCCAAAAAGCGAGAACCAGTAAGTAATCAATAACGGAACGGACTACTATCGATGAGAGAGTATTCGCATCTTCTTAGCGAACCAGGGTGGTCTCGTCGACGACAATAGCTAAGAAAGCTTGATGAAAAGAAACATGGGAATGGAATAATTGAAGCAGTGAAAGAACCGTAGAATGAGATACTCAGGTACTCCCCGCTAGAAGCATCCCCGCGATCCGGCGGCTTAGCGCCGAAGACCCGTTATTTGTTTACTTACCTGCCGCTAATCACCTAGCGCTGTCCATTTTTGGATAAACTAGCGAGAAAGGGCCAGAAGCTTAACAGCGCGCCAAGTGGGTCCAGACGTTGCACCCAGGAAGGAGCTCAGGAAAGTAGGACGAAGGAACATTCACTGGCAAATCTTCATGGGCTTTTCATCAATCCAGTATTTTTGCATTCAATTACCATCCTCACATGCTTCATCTGCCATCATATCATAGTTGGTCTTTTTGTGACCTAAAACCCTCTCAATCTTGACTTCACCACCATGTCTGCTAATCAGCCAGCGACTCATCCTTGCTTCCACGTTGCGCCGCCTCGCTGAAGTCGGACTGATGGGTGGGCATTTCTCCCCAAAGCTTCGTCAAACTTTGTGAAATTCGACAGGTGGATCTTGCTGCAAACTTGATAGCCGTCGTAGAGAAAAGTGCAGGGCTCGCCGAACATCTCAATTCCAATTATATGTGGGCCAGCGCCAAATCGCGTACTCCTCGTACGGGAAAATGCCCCCTTGCTACGTTTTGACGTTGAGCTTCTCATATTACTTTGACTGACAAACTGCCCAAGCGAGGTGAATAAATGCTTACCAACCTTGGTGCAATATACGATCACTTTATTGAAGAACTCAGTGACGAAGTCCCGCAATCTGAGCAGTCCAAGACTCCAAATGCAACACTGAAGAACGAGTCGATATTCATCCAATTTCCGATCAAAGCTTGTGTGTCTGGCCATTGCCGATGTCGACATCCGGAACCTGCCTGTCACCTCAAACGCCCAGACAATGCTTTCATAACTGCCGGTTCTATCATCCAGGGACGGTGCCGGATGGGTTCGGGCCATTCAAGGTCATCCCTTCTAATCTAGAGTCTTGTCCCAGGCACCATGTGGCGTTCAACATCTCTCCTTACGGCGAAAGTGCAGGCTTTAACATGAATAAATGACCAACTGCAGCTCTTTCAAGTAGTATCCACCTGTATTTCAAGGAAAGCGGAGTTCAGTCGTTTGCTTGCCCCATGTTCATCGTCATCTGAAGGTACTACTTAGGAGGTGACGATCCGTCTTGGTAGCTGAAAATGCCCCGACTGTCGTTTTCGTCATTGCTTTCACCTCCTCCGTTCCCAACGTCCTGTAACTTGCCGTAACGCCCGTGGCGTTTTACGCAGCTTAGGTACCATGAGTAGCTTCAAGCGCCTAGCAGTAGCTCTCGCCTTCCTTCTGTGCATGATTTCTCAAGCAGAAAGCTCACCGAAGCCAGCGAGACAATGTCCGCCTCTGAAGAAGGGCAGCTTTGTCGTACAACAGTACCAACTCTATCCCGAAAATGCGGACTGGGACGTCAACAACTGCATCGTCTATTTTGGGTAAGCTTTACATGTACAAACTCACACATAAATCATGGTGCTAAGGCGGAGGCAAGATCACTGTTCAACGCGAGCGTTGTAGTTTACGATCCTTACAAGGACGCCGTCCTCGACATTTTGACGTTTGACGGCATCACGCACAATCCTGCCTTACACATCGGTGGTGTGCAGGTGGATACTCGCACCAGATTAGTCTCTATTGTAGTCGACGCCGCCGCCCCCTTCAATACCGGCAGCAAAGACGTCTCAGGCGACAACTTCATCATCAAGTACGACCCGGCAAAGAAGCAGGTCCTATGGAATAAGAACATCACGGCCGTGACTAAAGGAGAATACGGTGGCTTCCAGGACATTGAACACGACACCCACGGCAACACATACGTCGTTGGCTCGTTCCCGGGTACAATCATGAAAGTCGACCGCCAGGGCTCTGCCGTCGTCCCGTGGTACCTCCCTGCGAAGATTGACCACACGAAAATGGGCTTCTCCGGCCTGGCGGCCACTGGCAATATCCTGTTGTCCAACAACAACGAGGACGCCCAGATCTACCGCTTCGATATGAAAGCGGACAAGGGTGCTCCCGTGCTCGTACCCAGATCGCCGAATGTGACGCTGGCGGGCACCGATGCCATCTATCTTCCACCAAGGTACGGTGGGAAGGTGTTGCTCATCGCCGAGAATACCAAAGGCGTTACTGTGTTGCGATCGAAAGACGGGTCGTGGAAGTCTGCAGAGCACCTTGGTACCGTGCCGAATAACTCCACTGATGCTCAAGGAGGGATTGTCACTGCTCCGGTACAAGTCGGCGACAGTCTATTCATGGTTGAGGAGTTCTTTGCGGATGCTCCTGTTGCGGGCTCGACTTCTGGGAACAGGACTAGTTTTCCGATGGTGGACATCACCTCGCAGGTTGAAGATCTTCTCAAGAAGTGAGAGAGTCACGGTTTGAAATAGTATTCATAATGAATACAGTTTTCGTCAATGGAAGAAGTTCTAGAACCTGATCGCCATCCCCAGGATGCAGATTCGATCCACTGATTCGATTAGGTGTTGATCGAGACCACTCCCTGACGCCTCTTGAACTGACAAGCCCCTGGTCAATTGTCTGGCATGCATAAGTCTGCAGGCATCCACAATCACGCATCAACAGCCAAGTGCCTATTGGATGTGCAAGTTCAATCTAGTCCACACCCCTCGCCGATAGTAGGGCTACAACGTCAACCCAATAGCTCGTTATCACGGCGAAAAGTTGCCGAGTTCGCTCTCAGGGCCTTTCCAATACTATGATGCCTTGATAATGAGAAGTATTCACCAATCATGCCCTCGTCGTCATCCGGCCCTCACTCATGCGAGTGGTGTCGCAGGCTCCTCGTTATTCACGCCGAAGCCGATATCCCGCATCGGAATCGGGGCGACAGACACGACGCCAGGTGGAACAAGATCGTGTTCGACACCAGTCTCCCCGATCTTCTCACAGCCCAGCAGAAAACATGTGCCTTCATAGACTGGATCCTCAACGGGGAGTGCATCGAACGACCAGACATTGGCGAATGCGTCGACAACATATCCGGCGAGGTCTACGAGATGGACCTGGAAGAGCTCGACCAGTTCCACGATCAGATTGACAAGGACCCGGACTACAGGCTTCCCTCCATGCGCCATGCCATCCAGAGCCGCAGCGACGGGTACCTTGACTACATCCTCGTAGCCGAGACAAATCCCCCGTTCCGCATGGGTGGTGACCACACGCCAGACGTTCTGACTATAGAATACTTTGGGCTTTGGGACCCGCGCACGAAGCTCGTTTCGTATAGGACGGTCAAGGGTCTGCAGATATACACGCCTCATGATAACCCGGCGGCCAGAGACTTCTGGACGCGGCCGATACAGAATGACCCTGCGTATTGTTTGCCTGCAGTGAAGTCATGGCTCGCAGATTGCGAGGATAAGCACGAAAAGTGTCGGGAGCTGAAGAAGCAGTCTGGGCCGTCGGCACTCAGGCCTGTTAGGCTGATCTACATTCATCACAACTCTAGAGCAGGAAACTATTCGCTGAGACTGCAAGATACGGCACCTTTGATTCCTTTACCGAGATTCGCAGCTTTGAGTTATTGCTGGGGCGGCAATCAGACAATGCAATGCGAGACGTCTACACTAGAGGTATTCAGAAAGGATATTCCCTTTGAAAAGCTACCTAGGACCATACAGGACGCCGTCAAAGTCTGCTCGCAGCTCGGAGTCAATTATATCTGGGTCGATGCTCTCTGCATCATTCAAAATGAAGGGAACGACGAGAAGATTCTGGAAATTGCAAAGATGCCATACATCTACGGTCAAGCTTCATTCACCATTATGGCATCCAGAGCCAAGACTGCGTGGGAAGGGTTTCTCCAGGACAGAGAGTCATTCTCAAAGTCCGATCTATCATTTCTTCTCTCGTGGCAATCCGAAAAGGGCGAAAAGGGATCGATTACCCTCACCGAGATGGAGACAGGGCATGAACCTATCGACGAGCGGGGGTGGACTTTTCAAGAACGCCTATTGTCTCTACGAATTGTTGAGTTCGGGTCTCGGCAGACGCGATGGACCTGTCAAGAACCGATTCCATCGATCACTGGGAACGACAAGCTATACGGTCTCGGCGTCGGTGAGGGGGCAACCGACGGCTGGAGAAAGATCGCAGAGCCCAATGATCTGAGGCAGGACTCCTTCAACTGGGGCCACTGTTCAAAGACCCCATCCCCGTGGGGTGCTCTGGTAGACATTTACACCAGCCGTACTCTGTCCTTCAACACTGATCGTGCTTTGGCCATGTCGGGAGTCGCGGAGCGCTTCGCCGTGTTGACTGGCGATGAGTATGCCGCTGGTCTCTGGAAAAGAAGCATTCGAGATGAGTTGCTCTGGAGAGTGGAGCAGAATGAGCGAAAGAATCGGTCTACGGTCTATCAGGGGCCTTCATGGTCGTGGTTCGCCGTTAATAGTAGTGTGAGAGCATACGTGGCTTTGGGTGACGGTTGGGAAATCCCTACGTTCGAAGGCGATGTGACGGATGCGACGGAGGTCTACCACGCCGAAGTCGTATCTATTTCGGCCGAGCCGGTGAACAAGAAAGCGCCCTACGGCGACGTCAGTGGCGACTCTGGTCGGCTTAGACTTCGTGGGGGACTCGCGGCGGCCACCGTCATCAATCATCCTGCAGGAGACTCAAGGGACGATCCGGAAAATGTCTTTGAAATAACCAGTCCCCAGAGCTCACAGGGTGTTCTCGAATCAGAGAACAAGCTCATGAGTACCAGAAACACCAGCTGTCATCTTGATTGCCTAGATGAAGTAGACGTTAAGTCTGCAGGCTCTGAGGGGTACGTGGCACTAGAGATCAAGAGAGTGCGCGGGTACTCTGCCGATTGGACTATACTCGGATTGCTTCTACAGCCGGTCAAGATGAATGAGGGAAGTTCACTGAATGGTGTGCCAGCTTACAGAAGAATTGGCACTTTTGAGTTGGAGTTGGAGGCTACATTTGATGACTTGGATGATGATGAGAGCCTTCAGAGCGAAGAGCGTTGCTTCTTCGACTTCATTCAATCACAAATTGTAGAGATATTCTAATAGCCACGGCCAATATTAACACTTCTCCATTCTAGTTCGCAGAACCCGAGCACATGCAAAGGTCGAGGACTGTTGGCCAATAAAAGAGTTCAAGTCATTCTTACTTCTATCATATTCCCATCGTTTCTCTTGATGACTTTATGAATGTTGGGATACATGTATAGTCTTACTATGTGCACATGAAGAGTCAAAACAACGAGAACAAAGGGAAATGTACGGTACGCTGCCGTCTACATTGTTCTGTCACTTCTCTTATATACTACTTGCTCCGTCTTTATCTGCCTTTCTAGTTGGGGGCTACTCGTCATCCTCTGCATCGAGTCTAAACCAGAATCCCATAGTCTTCTCAAATCTCATCTTGACTTGACTTGTAGCATCGACGTGTCTCATGGAGCAAGACTCTTCCACTGTGTCCAAGAATCCTCTCGAAGTCAGGCCCGATGCCTCGATATCTCACGGGCCTAGAAGACAGGCCGTGAACGACGACTAAGCAGTCAAGCCCCTAGGCTATACCCTTCCCACATTCCATCTCGCTTTTACTTTCCACATCTCATCTACATCGCCATTTCTCTCTTCTCTCCCAATTTCTCATCATATTGCACCTTGAATCAGTAAGTCATCGACATATAATCAAACTTTAACCGAGATACAAGATGACAGAGCCTCCAAGGAATCGAAGCAAACGAGCAGTAGAATTACAGAAACGAAAACATTGCCGTTACTCAAAGTACCTGGAGCCATCTTCTACCCGCCATATACATACCGATGGACCGAAACGAAAAGCTGAAGGCTCTGACCCGGGCTAAGATTTCCGAAAGGCTCAACCGGGAGAATACAGGACATCCAGGTGAAGATGAAATCCAGAATCATGGGGATCAGATGCGTGGAAATCATACGACTGTAAGCCATCGCATCGAGAGATCGATAAGGAACTGTATGATTGGGAGTGCTCCTGTCGCAGTCATGGGCTCCTTTGGCGGTGGCGGCGCTGCTCCTGCGAGTATTCCTGCTCCCAGAGCTCCAAGCAGCCAGGCGCCGATGCCAACGCCGACGCGTCCCAGCCCTGGACCTTCTTCACCTTCAAAGCTCCGCTCCTGTACGTTTCCCAAATTCTTTGGTCGGGATTCCTACTAATCAAATTTAGTGAGCCTAGCAATCTCATGCCATAACGTCCTATCTACACCTCTATCCCACCATAAGATGCCGCCATCCTTCCTGCAACATTCTTCTCGTGAGTCTCATCCCATTAGCCAAAATCATGTATCTGATGAACCTCTCACTCATTTGACATAGCAACATCCATTACTTCAAGTCCCGCCGGCCCAATCGGGTCTCCCCAGTACTCGGTGATGAATTTCTCATCTCCGCAGCACTCGTCGCGTGCGTCTCACCTCCAAGCTCATGATATTATTCGCTTCTCCGCTAATCAATCTCAGCGAGTGTGACGACATTCAGTCCCAGTGGCCGTCCGATGCAGAACCCAATGGTGGCGGCGCTTTCATCCGGGCAGCAGCCCCCTTTGAAGGCGCGACTTCGTGAGATTCATCCCATTCAAGCTGACACTCACTCACTTCTCTCTTCATCTCACTAAATCCCTTCTCAAATACAGAAACGGACAAAAACCGAAGAGCCTCAGTCGTCAAGGTCACCGGCCCGGAGAAGCCTCTGAAGTCGAGCAGCCCCCCGATCCCCTCTGCCCTCCGAAGCGTCAATTTCCCTCCTCCTTCGCTCGAGAGCACCACCGACGAGTCCAGCAGCGATGAGCTCATCATTACAAACCGCGGCCATTCGAACAGCCAAATTCATCAGACTCAGAGCAAAATGGGAATCAATCTCGATTCCTTGTTCAGCTACCTGGCTCCTCCCATGTCTCCGAACGAACTCTTCAATGCATTCTCATCCATGAACACCTTCGCAGCTAACTATCCGCCTCCTTCCTTGCCCCCGAACGACCTACTCGTAAATCCGGGCCCTGCTTGGAATTTGGACCTGCTTCAGAGCCCTCAACTCGGGCACATCCTCTCACCGCAAGCGGAGATTGCAGTCAGAGTCGGCAACGCGCGCACACTCGCCCACAATGGCTACCGCGGCCCCTTTGATATCGGTCGCCTCACCTGCCTCATCGATCCGTACACCGGCGAACCGAACCCCATCGCCGAGACGCGCCCCGACGCCCGAGGGAACATTGCCGCGTACGACCTGCACACCAATGAGAGCATCTTCGACGCCGAGCCCTCCGAGACGGGAACCGCCCAGTGGGGCAGGAAGGGCGAGTTCGCTGGTTTTGAAGAGTCGAGTGCCGCTTCGTGGGTGCTTGGTCCCGGATAGAACCCGGCCATGCCCCCGCCTCAGGTCGAGGAAATCAAGGATCCGCGCTTCAAGCCAAACGCAAAGGATGCCTGGATGGGTGTTAGACTATGTGAGGGCACTGAATCTGCCATGGTTCATGACGGTGATGTCCCGGCTGCGACATCTAACTTGGGTCCGACGCCGTCTTGGATCAAGGAAGCCAATGCTGTTCTGGGTATTCCGAATGAGGATGACGAGGATGAGGAGGGTCTCTTTGAGTATTGCAATTTTGATTTTGATGACTGATTGTTCAGTCGTCGGTGCTCGGATCACTGGAGTTTGGATGGCATTCTTTCTCATTTGGAGAACAAGGTCTACTTTGGGAACTGAGCACAAGGCTCAGATCTGGACAGCCATCAGGATCGCAACGAATCGTTTATGAATACATGCATTGATTATGAAAAGTACCCTCCCCTTGTATTACTTTATACAGGACGTCTTACATCCAAAGCGTGAATAAACACATGGTCCCGCATTGAAGCGATCCATCCCCTAGGCTGGTGCCTTCTACACCGTCTTTAGGCAGTCTGAGTGTGCTCAACACACGTCTTAAGCCTCAGCTGGGACTCGAGAGAGAGCCTCGACCTCAACAATCACCTTCCAGGAGGTGGCATAGGCTTGGTCCCGTTCTGAGGGGTAGCCGTCCCATTTGCAGGAGGAGCCATTCCTCCGCCTCCGTGGCCGCCACCACCTCCACCACCTCCAGGAGGCTTGTCACCTCCTCCTCCGCCTCCGGGGGGCTTATCACCGCCGCCGCCAGGAGGCTTATCACCCATACCCTCGCCACGCCCACAACCACTCATGTAGAGCGTAATCTCACCACAGTTGACGCCCTGATCGTTCTTCTTGTACAGGTTATACGTCTGGTTCTCGGCCTCGCACTGGAAGTACCGAGTCTGCTCCTGGAACGTCATCTTGCCGTCACAGCCGACGCTCCAGCCCTTGTCGGGCTTCTGCCCCGGATCGCACTGGAGTGTCTCGGTAGGGGCTGTTCAAATAAGTTAAATCATCGGCTTTGTTGGTGATCGAAGACGGGGGAATGGTTCGAAACTTACGAGTCCACCACATGCCGCGTCGGCGGGTATCGACAATCTCGCCCTTTTCCATGCGGAGGATGACGGGCTCGAGACCGATCCTCAGCTGGCCGCTTTCCAGTTGGCCGACCCAGCCCGAGACGGAGCCCTTGGCTCGCATGCGGAACGAGTTGCATTCCGTCATGCCGCCGCCGCCTTTTCCTCCTCCCCCACTTCCACCGCCGGGCTTATCTCCTCCACCGCCGCCAGGCTTGTCGCCGCCGCCTCCACCACCTCCATGACCGCCCCCGTTGCCTCCTTTGCAGTCATCTCCTCCCTTTCCACCGCCGCCGCCACCGCCTCCGCCGCCGCCTCCACCGGGCATACCAGGCATACCGGGAGGCTTGTCACCACCTCCACCGGGCATACCGGGAGGCATACCAGGCGGCTGCTTGCCTCCATGGCCGCCCTTGCAGTCATCTCCACCCTTACCACCACCTCCACCGCCGTTTCCACCGCCTTCACCAGGCTTGCCTCCGCCCTCACCGCCGCCTCCGTGACCTCCACCTCCACCTCCACCTCCACCGGGCATACCAGGCGTACCGGGCGGCTTGTCACCGCCCTTACACTCTCCACCACCGCGACCGCCGCCTCCTCCACCTCCTCCGGGGTGATGTTCCGGGTCCATGGTGTTGTTAGTCTCCCTGGGCACGAGGGCTAGAGCGAGAGAGCTCGTGGCCAGGGATACAACTGCAACTAAAGAAAGACGCATCTTCTTCTTATTTTTCCTGTGCTGTGCTGTTTTTTGTGTATTGCTCCGTCTACGTCTACGGGACACTAGAAGTGGAGGTGGTTGTACTAGTGATGACGACAAACGGTCACTCACCAACCGTAAACTAGGCCTCCGAGGTAAAAAAGTAACAACCTCGTGACGATGGCCCGTGTTCAGGGGGGAGAAAAAGGGTGATGTGCTGGGTAAGGTTTACAAAAAAGAAGAAGCCTTTTGATCCTTCTCTCAGCACAACTAGAAGCGAATGCTGGGTGGTGGTGTTCGGATAAGGAAAAGGCGTGAAGAGGTAAAGAGATGACCCCTCAGCGGGAGGAAGACTTTCATCTTTTTATGCTTTCTGGAAATCACCCTAAAGCTTGAGTATTTGCCGAAGTCTCTCGTTCTTGTCTCGTTCTACGAAGGGAAAGGCGAGGCGGGGTTCAAACATCTACACACACACACCCTCGCATACGATACTGACGAACACGAAATAGTCTTTTTGACTTGACTAGTAACCCGAGAGCAGAAAATCCGAGTAAGGAAGACATACACACACCCCGTTGGGCGAGAAGTGAGGGGACGAGAGGAGGCGGAGGAGGGGTCTGACGGACAGACCGGCGAGTTTGGTTTCCATGATGTTCGAATCGATCAGGAGAGTGGAAAGAAGCGTGTCCAGCAAGGTAAGGTAAGGTGAGGTACCTACATGTGGGCAAGGGCAAGGGGTGTTCTGCCATCCAGCAAGAAACAAAAACCAAGGCAGAGAGAGGAACAAGAAAGAGGGCGAGAGAAACAGACAAGCAAAACATCGGATTACACGGTCCACGTGGGGTCGGCGGAGACTTGCCTTCTCGTCGGAATTATTCCTCCAAAGAGACGCCTGCGTGTGTATGTGTGTTGGCTGGTGTTGAGTTGAGTCCTCCGAGTCTCGAATCGGAGAAGGGCGTTGTAAGAACTTTAAATAAACCTTCTCTCACGACTCATATTCTTCAGACGATCGTCGACACACTTCTTTTTTTCCAATCGAGATGAAGGGGAAGGGGAGGGGGTGCCAGAAGGAGGAGAGCCAAGAAGAAAAGGGACCGTTTCCACGCTAGATGCAAGAGGGAAATCCTTTCTTTGCAAGCCCAAGAGAATGAAAAAAAAAAAAACTTTGATTTTCAATGAGGAAAGAGTCAAGTCAGGTCAGGTTCGCTAGTTGAGACGGGGTGAAGTTGAGGGAAACTCTCCTGCTTAGTCGTGACGAGGAACCTTACGTCGGAACTTTAAACAACATCATCGAATCCCCGTTTTCTCCGTTGGCCGATCTCTTTGTTTTTCTGCTCAAGTTGCAAGGGTCGACAACACGGCGAGGCAACCGACAAAGCGAACGACAGAAGCCGAAAGAGGGAACATGAGGGGAAAGAGGGCACGGGAACAAAGTTTTCATCGGTGAATCAAGTGTTTGTATTCTTGTCTGACTGGCGGCGACCAGTCCGTGAATTGTCTATCTCTAGATTCTTGTTTCTAATTCGGTTCTTTCTGAACTGAAGAGACCTCGTTTTGAAGAGGCTATAGGGTATGGACAATATCTATCCACAGATGGCAACTTGCCAATCGAGATAGATCATCTGGGGGTATCATACGGTAACAACGCTGAGCGTACCATCCCTCGATAGAGATGGCGGGAGAATAAACTTTGGGAAACATCCCGCGGCTGAAGCCCGTGCTTAGCTGGAGGAACAGGGAAGCGCGGAAATCCGGGATCTGCGCCCCACGGCAGAGCCGCAATCAGGTGCCGACGCTGGACAGCCTCAATGTCTGGAAACATTCAGGCTTCGTGAAACGACTGCCCTGGCTGGCCCGTGATTCTCGCAGCACAAAGGCCTTGCGATCCCTGGGCGTCCCCAATTGGCGGACGGTGCAGCCAAACTCGCTTTTCGTTCTAGTTTGTTTTTTCCGAGTCAGCCCCAACCCAAGTGGACTCGCCGCTTTCCACCTGTACTGGTGAGGCTGCCGAAACTTCGGCGTTGCAGCGGAAGAGATTCATCTAGCAGGTTCTCGCCTGAGGATTTCACGTCTTTGTCTTTCTTCTCTTCTTCGAAGCGTTGCTGGCACTACGATCCGATACAGCACGGACCGAAGTGTTGTAGCTTGTCTCCGAGGCAGCGCCGTCACCACCATCTTCACTCGCAGAGTCGTCGTCTGATACATCATCCAGCGGGATCATGTCGTCCGAGGCCTCACCTGCGTCTTCAGATGCCTCGGCCAAGGACTTGTCGCCCTCAGCCTTGTCATCGTCAGACCCGAAACCTTCAAACTCCTCATCGTCCCCTTCTTCTTCTTCGTCACTGGAGGGTCCCATTGACGTATCGGCCACGCTCTCAGCCACATCAGTTGTGTCACGCTTCCGCTTCTGGGGCATCTCGCCAAGCCTGCCACCACGGCCCTCAATGCCCTCGGCAGTCTCTGTGCCTTCTTCCTCAACAGGCGCGGGAGTGAACCAAGGAATCTTGCCACGCATGAAGTCGTTGAGGACCATCTTGGCAACACCGTCCAAGTCGGCCTCTCCGTGCTTCAACAGACGACCACCCTTTCGGGCAAGCATCTCGAGGAACTCGACGTGATTGGTCCAACCCTTGAGTCCGTACGTTCTCTCCATGTGATGTGTCTTCACCTTCTCGAGAACAGCAGGAATGTACTGCTCGGGGTTGTGTACGTTCTCCACACGGACAACACCTCTCAGAAGAAGATCTTGAGGAGTGTCGGTCTGCGACGGCGGTACAATACCGGGGCAATCGATCATGTCTAGGAGAAATCAGTTCCATGCTCAGGTACATCGAGAGAAACTGGAGAATGACTTACAGATCTTGCGGGTGAGTGTGATGTACTGCCAGACCTTGGTTTCACCGGGGATCGGTGCAACGTTGGCGACCTTCTTCTGTCTCAGAGTGTTGACGATGGAACTCTTGCCGACATTGGGGTAGCCGATGAGACCAACGGAGATCTGCTTGCGGTCGCTGTGGAGCTTGGCGTACTGTCTGAGCAGCTCAATCAGACTACCCTTTCCGAAAGGGTTCGTCAGACTGGAGTGCATCGCCAGCGTAGGCTTGTCCTTGGAGAAGTGCTTCACCCAACGAGCCTGTATCGAATTAGCTTCTGCATGAAGCAAACAATGAAAAATCAAAATGATCTGGAGAGTATGTATGCTTCACTACTAAGAAATACCACCATCGAAAGGCTCGAAAGAGCACTGGCAGACTTCAACTCATCGGAAGCAATTCTATCTCATGATAGGAAATCCAAAACGGATCCCATCAGCCCTGATCCAAGGACCAGGACAGCGAGACAGCCCTCGATTTTCCCAGTGTTTAACGGAGAACTTCCATTGTAAGCACTCAAAGAGTGCGGAACGCTTCCTGACAAAGACACTGGGGTATGGGATGGGGGAACAGGAAAATGAGCTTGAAAAACTTACAGCAACACTGGTAGGCACCAAGTCCGTCTTGTTCAAGACAAAGATGAGGTGCTTGTGAGGTGCCTCCTCGCGGAGGTACTTCTCGACACTGCGACATCTCGTTCCCAGAGGGTCGCGAGCATCCAAGACGTGGATAACAACGTCGGAAGAATCCAACACACGGTACAGTTCGTTCCAAATACGCTTGCTCTGACCCTTGTTGAAGATGGGCTCGATCGACAAGGTGACGTGACTCTCATCTTCGTCGGCACCACCGGCCTGGCCGCTGAGCAGCTTGTTCCGTTCCTGGAGCTCGTTGAACTTGTCAAGGTCCTTGTCAACCTCGCCAGCCAAATCCGCAATGGAACCGGCGCCAATCTTAACGCGCTTCCGCTGGGACTTGGGGCCGAACGTATCCCCAAAAGAGGACGTCTCGATCGTCATCTTGGCCTGGTGCTGCTTAATGCCGTTGACGTTGTCGGCACCATCCTTGATCAAGGACATGGGCAGCTTGTTGCTCTTGAGCAAGACCGAGTACGGGTCCGCGGCCTTCTCCGCCATGGCGCTCCGGAACGCCGTCAAGCTCTCCTGGGAGATGACACGGGTGTTGCCGAACCACTTGCGGTTGGGCTCGATCCGGGCGTTAGGGATTTCTCGGCTCTGGAAGGAGGCGGCCTTGGTGATCTCGCCGTCGGCGTTGCGCTGCGGCTTGCCATCCTTGTACATGTTCAACTGCCTCACCCGCTTGGCAGAGCTGTAGCATTGTAACGTTAGCGAACTGCTTGCGCGTACCGAGCCAAGGGAGAGTTGGAAACCTACCGGTAGAAATTTTCGCCCTTGACCTTGACATTGCCCATGCCATCGCCGGTTTTGCCCTGGCGAACCTTTCGGCTCGCCTCTTTCTTTCCGGTTCCCATCTTTTATGTGACCGCGAACTCGCCCAGTCGTCGACCTTATTGAAAATAAAGGGAAGACTGAGGGAGAAGGGGGTAGACTGGGCGGGAGTTGGAGTCGGTGAAGTTTTTAGAGAGGATTGAGAGAAGGAGGTTGGAGCTTCGCGCGCAGTAAAAAGGAAGTTCTTTCTCTTGCGGGTGGTGGGGTCCCTTGGGAAT